TGGATGTTTTCTGAAACTCGTATTTTCTGTCATGTGGAAGTATCATCCGATGCCCAACATCCCTTCCGTTTATACTGACCCTTACATTGAAAGCACATTAGTATTGGTCAGTAAGTGATAGGGGACAAAATCCACAGTTCTTATTTGGTATCGAATGATTATGATGTATAATATTAAGCTACTAACCATGTCAGTTAGCAGCCTATGAATGCTATAGTGTTAAACCAAGTCATTTACGATTCCATTGGATTTCTAAGGTAGCCATATACACTAACAAGTCTTAACATTATGACCACCTGAGGTATCTGGCACCAAGACACTAGCAACAGATCCTTTAAATCCTATAAGTTGCGAGGTGGGGCCTCCAAGGATTGGAATTGTTTGTCCAGCACATCCCACAGATGCTCGATTGGATTGAGATCTGGGGAATTTAGAGGCCAAGTCAACACCTTGAACTTGTCGTATTCCTCAAACTATTCCTTAACCTTTTATGCTTTGTGGCAGGCTGCATCATCGTGCTGAAAGAGGCCACTGCCATCAGGGAATACTGTTTCCATGAAAGGGTGGACATGGTCTGCCACAATGTTGGTCCATGTGTTTTGACACAGACATGGCCACCACTGGCCTCTCAATCCTATTTCTCACACTTCTTCTGCTTCGTAGTACAAAGGAAATAGGTAAACACTTGCACGAGTAGCAAATAAGTAAAGGGAAAATTAGTTAATGTTCTCTACCATTGCTAACAATAACAACAACATGCCAATAATGATAATAATGATGATATCATAATATATGGCCTAAGGTACAGTTTCTTGGTTTTAACATGGGTTTGGAAAAAGCATTCCTATTGCAGAATTTTTAGGTAAACCAATTTTGAATTTGAACTAATCTGCTATTGTGCAAGTGGTGTGACAGAGACATGCTTAGTTGTCTACAAACTTTCCTTGCTGGTGCATTCAAGGACGCTCCAACATTTGAGAGAGTCATCTGGAAATGAGTTGACACCGAGGGCTACATCGAAAGCTGGAAATGTGTTCTCCCTGTTGAACAGACTGGTGACATTAGCAAATATCTTAGTTGTAATCCACTAAGATTTTATCAGATACCCTACAGTGACTGACACTTCTTTAACACTCTCACACTTTCCTGCAATTCTGTGCCCTCTCAGAGTCCTTGAGCTAGACACTACCCCCCCCGCCATGCTCATTCATTGAAATGTAACATATGGATGACACATGGGTGTCTGCAATATGTTCCTTTATACCCACACACTCCCAGAGTGTTACAGGCAAGTGGTGAGGCAGACACATACACACACATGGACTCACCATACTGGATTGTCTGTTGTGGGCAGATGTTGAGTTTGTGTGTCTGACCGAGAGCGCAGACCTAATTAAGACTGAAGAAACACATCATTTTATTTGGCTCTCTCTACTCTTTGGCCTCACTTTGATCCAATGATTATTACCAGCTCTTTGGCTCTGCTGAGGAGTAGAGGGCGGGGTAGCATTGTGTCTCATGCTGACAGCTCCCAAACAAAAATATCCCCCCTCCCCGGGTTGTTACATCTGACACTCCCAGCTGGGTTGTCAGCGGTGAGGTCAGTAAGAGAATCCAGCTGCCTACTGAGGTTTGTTCCTCTGCTGTGGATTAGCACCAGCCAACCATCTGCTGGTGTCCTGTAGTGTAATACTGTACATGCACTCGCTGTACATACAATCCACGGACACATGAAGGCAATCACATCCTCAATTGTACAAATCATGAACACAAATACACATGTTCATGCTGTGATAATCAACCCAGGAGGGGTCCACATAGCTTTTTTTTAAATCTAAGCACATATGTTCAACTCTGTTGTGGATTTCTCTTGCCTCCTGCTGTTTCCTTTCCTCCGCCAGAGAACGGAGCAGTGCTCACTAACCTCCAATGTGACAAGAAGGGCAGCCATCATATCATCAACAATGTTCCTGTTATTGCAGTGACAGGACAGCACAGTCCAGGAGTTATGTGGTGTACTCAACCAAAAATGTTTTTAGTGTCAAAGAATCACCCCCCTATAGGCTTGAGGAGTCTACAGGAGGCTCTGAAATGAAATAGTTGCAATAGATTCCAATGGTGACCCAGAACCACAGCACAAATGAAAAGCATCAGAATGTCCAGAGAAACTTCTCAAACTAAAATATTGTAGCATGATCCACTTCTAAGCTGTCAGTGTTCAGTATCAACACTCATAGTTTCTCCAAAACATAACAAAGTAGCATATTTAACAATTTATTGTTGAAGGAATGATTGTGAGTGAGACAGCCGTAAATGTATTTCCTTTGAGGACAAAATACTGGTATACTTTGAAGGTTCATCTTGGCCATGGAAACAGCAGCTTGACAAATAAATACTTACCACAAAGTCCGACTTACTTGTTGATTCTGTCACATCATAGCAACTAAACCGCCTCTGTGACAACTTAGCAACTTCCTGACAAAAAACGCTTAAAGGTCCATATCTTTATATACAGGAGACCTACTTTTACACACCTAGGAATAAGCACTTACTAACATCATGTTGATTAAATCTTCACACCAAGTCTTTCAGTGGTTGGCTAGTCCCAAGCAGTGATTGAGAAATCTGAGATTGCTATTACTTTAACCTCAGAGAGTCACTTTATAGTGTTATTCCCATCTGTAACTAAAAATGACTTCTTCGCTATTTTCCTGTCAACATAATCTCTCCATTCCCATTTGTATCACCTCATATATGTCAATTTGCTCATTGCTTGCTATTGTCTAGGCATGCACCAAAATGAAAATTCTTAGCCGAAACCGAATATAATGAAAAACTTTCCCGAACACCGAACAAGTTTTTTCACATTTTTTTCCATTTATTTTGCCAATTCTTTTAACCATTTTATAAAATAAATAGTCAAAATGTGCTTTTTACTCAGTGTTTCCCACAGGATTTGGAGAGACTATGGTGAGTGGGTCCGAGGCCTGAGAGGGTCCGGTAAAGTAAATTACATGTGTCCATTTACTTTTAATGGACACATGTGTACAGTTCTCTGTTTTTTTTCAATGATGGTATCCAGAATGACATTGTGCACTTGTACCTCATACTTGCTGTCAGCATCTGATATGGTTGTGTCATCACATAACTCGCCTGGCATCCTTTTTGTCTTCTTTGGTCTCCGGTTTGGCAGCACGTATTCCACCTCTGCGTCTGTCTCACACACATGCTTTTTGCTGCCTTTACCCCCTTAAAATCCCTTGCATATTTTTTCATATTCTCTTGTGTGCTCGTGACAAAGCGATGGGCCGTGAGCAAATCCATTCCACTCGTTTGCAAATACTTGGAAAGTGGAGTTGTTTGTTGGAAGATGCGTAAAAACGTCTGGGCAGTGAATGGTTTTGTATTTCAGCAGAGCCTCTGCATAAATAAGCATTGGCCTTCGAACGCACCGTCGGCTTCATGTTATCTTTCTCGCTCAGGGCCTTGAGTGTAACAACAAGATCAATGTAAAGACATCCTTCTGGATCCCCAAATTTCCCAAACACCTTTCTAAGCGCAGCGTCTTTGGCCCACCATCGGGTTTCGCCAATTGATGACAGCCTCCTGTGCCGCATATCTTTGCTCACATCCTCCCATGCATTCATCCTTTTGATATAAATCTCGCAGGAAAACAGCGATGTCATTTAACAAAGAAAAAAGTGATGCACTCGATAGAACGCAACCAGTAGTGTCCATTATTACTAAATTCAGTACATGGCCATAACACCATATGTGTACCTGCGCAGGTGAATGAGCTGACAATAGCGCTGAAAATCCTCGGTATTCCCCTTGCATGTTAGCAGCTCTGTCCGTGTGGAATTACCCACACATTCAGCTATATTAAGTTCCATTTTCTCCAGGACACATTTAAGCAAATCAACAAAACCCTGTCCTGTAGACGACTCGCAGTTGACAAGTGCAGTCATTCTCTCTTGTGTCTTCACATCCGTCACATAGCGAATTATCACTGAACACTGGTCTTTGGCTGTTATGTCTTGTGTTGTATCGATTTGAATCGAATACATGCCTGCCTCTTTAACCTCAGCAGCAACGTTTTCTTTAATGAGACATCCAATAGCTTCTATGACCGTGTTTACGGTTGTCTTGGATAGGAGAGTGACCAATGATCCCCTGCTCGTTGCTCCGGAGTTGTGCAGCCTCTTACTGTTTTCAATACACGAACTGACATGCGTTTGCAGGCATATATCATTATATATATATAATTTGCTCAACAAGAGAACAAGTTCTAACAATAACATCATCACCTACTTCTGTAAAGTTAGCTTGTGCAGTTCCTCCATCCAACTCTTCAGCAACATAGTCAGCCACCACCTCATGGCTACTACTGTTCCTTGTCGGGGAGATAGCAGCAGTCTGCTGCTCGTGCTCGAGGCTCCCAACAGTGGGTGTAACATTGCTAGAACTACTGCTAGCGCTTGATAAAAGTAACTGGCTAATGTCAGCTTTCTGTGCCTGGCTGACACTGACAATGTTAGCACTATTTTGAGCTGACTGTGGTGGGAAAAACATTTTTATCTTGGGACATTTTTCAGCATGGGCCTCAAGACATTTGCGTTTTTTGTCCCTTATTTTTTCTGCACCACCCTTTACTTTCACGAAGTTTGTCTTTTTGTCCATTTTACCTGCAGATCGGCTACTGAAATGCTAGCAAGATTTGTTTTACTCTTTCCCCGCTTTTTTATGTTGCGTGCTCTTGACATGGAGCATGTACATGACGTATCACATGGAATGATTTTTTTTCTTGAAATCCACAGCTGCTCAATTCCATTTAAGCTCTCCTAAAGCAGGGTTAAGTTTTAAATTACATCACACTGTTTATCTTCCATGCAAGTCTGGCAGTGGTGGAATGGCTTTAGACATTGCGATTTATTTATTTCTAGGATGAAGCCCCTTTGGGTCACTTCTGAAAATTTGTTGTCTTTGTTTGTCCTTTCTAGGGGGCTGTTTGCAAGTAATTATACAGAAACTCATTACCTGGAAGATGGCAGTGCGGTCACAGGCTCTCACAACTTCACGGTAAGTTTTAAACAACCTTTTATTTTCTTTTATTAAGGCTAACACAATAAACAATTGTAAATTTCTTCTACCCACCCAGCAGCTATACTGAGTGTTGGCATTTTATGGAATGCTTCTTCTTGTCAGGTTCTGCTTCATTGGGCTCATTTTAGGGTCAGTGAGGAAGTAAAGAAAAGTTGATGTTGCATTTAGATGCAATTTTAAACCACCTGAAATTGGGTAGTCTTGTGCATAAAGAAGCCTGTGTAGGTGAGTGGGCACATTTTCGTACTCTGCCAGCAGATTCATATTTGATGAAATAAAAGGCAGACAGAGGTCAGAGACCAGACTCAGTTTTAGGAAACAGCTCAAGTCTTTCATAATGGATAAACTTCAGACCATCCCAAAAAATTGTTTGTTATGCAGGTCTTCAAGAAAATATTGAATTAGTGAACATCTAAGTGCACTTAAAAAGTAACACTGTGAAATCTTTAGCACCTATCATTGCATTTATGAGCCTTAAATTGAGATTTTATTTAATGTCTTTCTAAATCAGATTGTCGCTAACTTTACTCCAAATCAAAGTTTTGCATAGAGTAGTTTATAGTTTTTGACCACAGCTCCAACAGGGTACGATGTCAGCTTTTTTACTAAATAGAATTTATAATAATAATAATTATTTACAAATGTATCCTCTGGTTTTCCAGTGATTTATAGTCATAAATTATACTTAATGAATTGTATTTTTTCCAACCATTCAAGTTTCTTCCAATTTACTGCGATTTGCTTCAGTTTTGTGATAAATATTTCTCATTTCATTAAGCTCAGTTGGATTTTTCTCAGGAAAATGTGTTTTTCTGTCAAATACAGTGAGTCCTTTAAAAGATCTATCTTATAAATATCCCTTTATTGAAGGATATTTATTTTCAGTTTCAGAAACGGCAAGACAATTAGGAAACTACATGTACGGTATACTGTAATGAATTAATATGAATATGTTGCAGGAGCATCTGGAACAATTTCTATGCCTCAAAACTTCCACCTGCTTGCCTGATTTTAGTAATTTGATGATCTGCTGTGTGGAAAGCAATTACACGTTAAATTTTTGCATTGCATTATAATAGACAGCCTGTGAGGTCTGTGTACACAATGCCTGGCCTACATATGCTGAAATCCACAAAGGAGATTAATGTAATTCAATGCTGTCCAACCCACACATTAAAATGAACAGTATTTTCCACATGAGACTGCTGTGAGACCAGAGCTGGACCATCACTGGCTAGGCTCGGCCAGCTCAACAGAATCTCTGCGATTCCAAAGCATAAAGACAATGAAGGCGTTGCAGAGGGTCGGCTCTGGGTGGACTCTGAGAGTCCACAAGTTAGATAGCTAGCACAGGGCATGAATAGATGATTAGATGGATGGATAATTGGTAATAATTGGGTGTAGGACTGCAACTAACAATTGTTTCCATTATCGAGATGTATTGATCAATCATCAAGTCTACAAAATGTTTGAGAATTATGAAATGCCCTAGATGAGGCCTTCAGATTGCGTGTTTTGTTCGATCAACAGCCCAACATATTCAGATTGTGTGAAACGAAAGAAAGCAGCAAATCCTTACATTTGAGAGGCTTGAACCAGCAAATATTTGCTCTCTGTCTTACCAGCTTGGGAAAGCTAACAGAGATTTTTCAACTGCCAACCCTTCTCTCATCCTCTCTCATGACCACAGCTCTTCATGGGAGGGTCTTTTTACTGGATACCGCCAAATCTAGTGAGACTGATCCGTAGTTAATTTATTTGTCCTGCCGGCAGGGAGGAGACTGATATAGTGATCTGGGCAAGGGATCTAGCAGGTTCAGTTGTATGTCAAAGGCAAGGTACTGCTGGGAGTGACTTCAGCGTGAGTCAGCCCTCCTTTGGTTCCCTCCTGTCTGTTTTACATCCTCTCCCTTTCTCACTAAATCTTAAGTCCACATACAATACAATAAATCCGCGCCATGTGCTGTAACAAAAGCCATCGACTGGGAGTATGAATCACTAGCATGGATATTAAAGCGTTAACTTGTAATAATAAATGCATAGTTCTGATAAACAATGTAATGTTCACACCCAGGTTTGCCTCCTACAATAATCTGGGTATTAGTTATTAATCTTCCTTATTCCAGATATGAAGGTGTAAGCACTTTCCTTTCAATTTCTTTCTGCAGAAACCTTAGAAACAAAGTCTATTCATATCCCTTATATCGATGTATCACCGTCATGATCTCATCAAAGAAACATGAGGTGGTAGAATTAACTCAGAGCACTAAATCCTACCCTGCTCCTCCCAATAACAGTAAAATTTCATATTTCATGTAATGGGCTGTCCTTTCTTTGCACCTTTTTACCCCGCTATAATGGATAGTTCTCTTTCGGTATAGCTCTAGGTAGAGATATGGAAAGTGGCCAAACAGGCGAAGGCTTTCCAGGCTTTGGGTCCACTTCTTGAATGTCCTCCTAATAAGATATTGTTGTTCTGCAGTAGGGTTGGGTTCTGATGGCTAAATACATTTTTTATCCCTGTCTCCAAAATATTACATCCATATGCTAAAATACATTTTGGAAGAAACAAGAGCAGCACGGATTATGTTTACTGGTACCATTTTTTTTCCACACCAATTTGCTTGCAAAATTAACTAATTGCAATTACTAGTATTTAAACATAATTTACTTGGAGACAGGGTTTCCATTTCGGACCAGGTTCAAAGTTATTTTGTATACTATAAACAAATGTCTTATCAAATCTTTTATCTACTCTCTCAACAGCAAAGAATAAAGCGTCCAGGTATTTATTTAACTAAATAAGGATGTAATATGTCTAACAAAACTGTATGTAAGAAAAGTCTAACATCAGAACAACCTTTCAAAACAACATATCACTGTATAAAGTCATTGCGGCAAAGGTATTTGCAAACAAATGCCCAATTACACACCCAGCAGACATGGCATATTGGCATTCCTTTGGAGTTATGTTTCTAGCAATCCAATGAATGTAAGTCATGTAATCACCCTTCTTCTAGCTCTGTTTTGGACTGTTTGGTATGCTGCTTAACACTAGAACCGCCAGGGTTCATTGTATACATATAACCGCCTTAGTGGGTAAAATTTACCCAGTATAAAAATGCAGTGATTTTGTGATTGTTTCTGCTACACGTTGCTCCAACACACTTTGGGAAACATTCAGCACCTTGGCTGTGCTTTTCCTATAAACACTATCCCCATATTTTAGGCATTTACAGAATGTTTATTCTATTTTATTCATTGTCTTCAACGTGCAGGTCGATCGCTTGCGCTGCGCATCTGTGAAGGGCAAGTTCACACGCGGTGGCTCTTTTGATGTCATCCACTCACCGCTGTTTTAGATGTTATAACCTAGTTATATTCTAAACACAGCTTGAACTTAAATGTAGCATACAATTTACAAAAACGACTGACTGTTGTAGTGTTTTATAGACGGTAATAATAATAGCCTCATAATGTCGGCTAGTTCTTACTGTTCTGCTTGTTTTTTCGGACTCCATCGGGCATCCAGAGAGTAGGCTAACACATAGCTACAAATGTTTGAAAGTCCAAATAAAAGTAGGCTATTTATTTGAAAAAAACGATTATTATCGATTCCAAAATTTATAGTAGATTTTTACCCAACGGAAAAATGTATAATGATTACTAAAGAATAGCCTACATCGCATTGGAAAATTTATAGCCGATCAAAAATCACATGAGGGAGCCGCACTTGAAGGGACCGCAGAACATACCGAAAAAACTAGGCTACTGCAGCATTAGTTTTGATGATCATGTAGCCTACACAAACGGTATAAGCAGCAGCTTTTATGCATGTTTACTTCATACAAGTGGATCGCTGTCAGATAATGACCCGTCAGATGCAGAATCAACCTAGGACACAATGCCTGTAGCTAGTGGAAAAGGCATTGCCAGTGGCAACAGAATGTTTATCTAAACCCGCAACATGAACAGCGCTAAAATGAAATGCATTCTCTATAGGGGTAAATTTTACCCGCTAGCGCTTATAGGTATAAATGCCCATTTTTTTAAACCTGGCTTTATCTTGACATTTCTTAACAATAGGGAGTGCTACATAACACACTTTTAGGAAAAGTCTAAAACTGGGGGACTTGAATAGGCTATTACATTGAAACAAAAATACATACAATCAAAAAACAGCCATGGGTAAATTTCACCAGCTAATCAATTGCCTTTTTGCTGAAAACAGCTGCTGTTTTGCTGCTTCTTCGGCTGGAAACCACACTGGTGAGAGGGGCAACGCTGAACAGAAAAACGGCAGAGTTGTGGGACATAAAACCAGAAAGTTAACACACAGAGTTTGGGCATAATTCCTTCGGGGTTTATCACTATAAGCTATACGCTTTCACATTAAATAGTCATTTGGTCCATTGTTAACGTAAAATAAAAATTGGTGCAGCTTTAAATATTAAATTATTTATTAAATTTTACTCTAAATTACTGAAGACTAAACCTAAATTCATTTAATGAGGGATTTCCTAAGGTTTCAGATTCAATACTAGATCCAGGTTTAAGAAAATGCTATTGCCCCCCAACCTTGTTTGTGAGGTAAGACTAAGAGACAATATTTTTCAATTCTGTTTATCTAGCTCATGTCAGAAGTGCGAATATCATTAATTGGATTATCTGTATTATTGCAGAATAACTGAGAAGAAGTGCTGTGATGCAGGGCTAAGCAAGGGTCTCCTTTAACACCAGAAACTCATTCAGAAGCTGAACATGCAAAATCAGCAGGCTTTAGGTTAGCCACCTTGAAGAAGGCCGGACATTGAAATTTACTGCCTGTACTCTATATTTAGAGTTAGTCAAAGAGGGGTGGAAAACTCCCATTTCCTTGTTTTCCAGAACAGGGTGGCAAGAAGGGCTGTTGGTCAGACCTCACCTGAGCAAGGCTGTTTAACTGTAGCAGAAGGGCTGTTTTCAATCTAAACCAGACACTTCCTCCCCACCTTCTTGCTGCCAGGCCTGATTCAATAAACATGCGCTTTATTTACTCCCTGCTGCAACTTGACAGGTTGTCCATGAAAGTACCTGGGAACGCAGCAGCAAGCAAAACTTGTGCTGGTAAATGTGAAACTCTGCACAGGTTTCAGCCATCATCAGCCTGTGTTGATGAGTGGGAATGGCTCTTGCAAACCCTGCAAAAGACTATTCTCCCAGAGTTAATTTGCTCATATTTCACAGTTATCAGCTGGGACTGGTGTTGTTGAATTGTGCTTAAACCTAAAGACTTGTTTTGTTTCACGCTGGTCCCATTCTTCCTGTCTTGAATATTAAATACTTAAGCCTTTTTGTTTGTGCTCCCTCAGGCAAACTGCTACTACCACGGTGAGGTGGAGGGTCATGTCAACTCGGACGTCAGCCTCAGTACCTGTGCTGGTGTTAAGTAAGTGTATCAAAATATTCTTTCATTTTTGTCATGACATTACCACAGGTCTCTGTGATAAACATCCGAAGTAGCCGGAAATTAACTACTGCAGGGAGAAGGGATGGGGATCGATACCCGGTTCTAGAAGGACCCGGTTTCAAACTTTCTCAAAACCCGAAAATCAATAAGGTGATATTGCTATTGAGACTAGCGGGTCCTTGCAATGTAATGTCATGTATCGAGCATCAAATCTGGTTTAACTTGAAACACGATGAATAAAAAAACTAATGTTTATTTATTGATGGCACCGAAATGTGGTATTAAACAGGCTTGCGGGTCGTGCGCATGCGCAGAACCGCTAAATAGCACATCTCGATAGGTAGCATAAATCGACAGAACACCGGGACAGTTTATTAATATTAAATTGTTAATTTATCAATACACCTGTGTGTAGGTTCAACCTGTAGAAAGGGTTAATTTAAACTGCTCTGTCCTCAGTCTCTTATCCTGTATGTTTTATACAAGCACAGCTAACGTTCGCTTGGCATTAGCCAAATGTTATGAACAAGCTAAATACGCTGAACAAAATTTTAAATGCAACACTTTTGTTTTTTTCCCCATTCATCATGAGCTGAACTCAAAGATCTAAGACTTTCTCTATGTACACAAAAGGCCTATTTCTCTCAAATATTGTTCATTGGTCCGGAAACCAGTCACTATCTGGTATGACCACCATTTGCTTCACACAGTGCAACACATCTCCTTCGCATAGAGTTGATCAGGTTGTTGATTGTGGCCTGTGGAACGTTGGTCCACTCCTCTTCAGTGGCTGTGCGTAGTTGCGGTTAGGTCGAGACCCCGATGAGGACGAAGAGCATGCAGATGAGCTTCCTTGAGAGGGTTCCTGACAATTTGTGCAGAAGTTCTTTGGTTATGAAAATCGATTGTTGCAGCAGCTGTCCGCGTGGCTGGTCTCAGACGATCTTGGAAGTGAAGATGCTGGATGTGGAGGTCCTGGGCTGGTGTGGTTATGCAAGGTCTGCCGTTGTGAGGCCGGTTTTATGTACTGCCAAATTCTTTGAAATACCTTTGGAGACTTATGGTAGAGAAATTAACCTTCAATTCACGGGCAACAGCTCTGGTGGACATTCCTGCAGTCAGCATGCCAATTGCACGCTCCCTCAAAACTTGTGACATCTGTGGCATTGTGCTGTGTGATGGAACTGCACATTTTCAAATGGCCTTTTATTGTGGCCAGCCTAAAGCACACCTGTGCAATACCCATGCTGTCTGATCAGCATCTTGATATGCCACACCTGTGAGGGGGATGGATTATCTCGGCAAAGGAGAAGTGCTCACTAACACAGATTTTGAAAGATGTATGAACAATATTTGAGAGGAATAGGCCTTTTGTGTACAAAGAGAAAGTCTTAGATCTTTGTCAGCACATAACTGACAGTTAACGTTAATTACAGATGCACCTAGCTAAGCAAGCTTGCTAGCTCCACACGCGGCCGTTAGCTCCACCACCTCGTCAAAATATGGTCCCGTTTTTTGCCGCTGGTTGCAAAAAATCTAAATTGCGGAGCCCTATCGGCCAAACTTGAGGCTTCAAAATGGCAGTCCACAAACCAACGGGTGACGTCACGATGACTACGTCCACTTCTTATATACAGTCTATATTCCAAACACTAGCTACCCTCCAGGCAGTCAACGGACATGAATTGTTGTGATGTAGAGACAGTGCTCAGTTACAACTTTATGGATGAAAGATACATTTGGTACAAATTAATAACTCACCACTCTGAAACTCTTGCTTCAGTCTATGTTGCTAAGCTGGTAAGGGGATAGCTGAACCACAGCTGTGTTTACCTGTTTCTCACGACCTGCCCTTCTCTGCTTCTGATTGGCTAGTAGTCCTTAACTAGGTACTATGCATGTGCAGCTCCCAACAAAGATCTTGTAGAGGAAAGATGCATCACTCCATAGCTAAAATAAAGCGTTCAACACACAGGATGAAAAGAGGAGCTGCAACAATGTGCAGTGAGACAAAAAATATGGTGTTTTTTGAAAATGAAACCATGTAAACCTGTTCTGATACAACCCCTAAATATGATTTTGAACCTGAAAATGAGCATAATATGACCCCTTTAAGTTTCAAATGAGGTTTCACTGTAGAAAAGTTCAGACAATTGCCATTGTCTCACTGTTCACATAGCTGAAAAGAAGTCTCATAGGGCAAGAAACACTAGCATTCAGAAAATCACAAGGTTTTAAACAGTCCCAGCATAGCCACATTTATTTGGACTTGCCATCATACTTAGTTTGGACAGAGTTTTTCCTGTAAAAGGAGTGATTATTACCAACATGTTTGGTGCACAGTTTTCGTTTTATCTCCAAATAAAGTGGTATAGATAATGTGGTTAAACTGCTGGCTTTTTTACAACCTCACTGAACAATTATTTTGGTGAGCACAATGTTATCAAAACAATTACTATTGTCACCAAAACTACAACAAATCAGACACATGTTGTAATAAATAGGGATTCTTCTCTTAAGTCTACAGTCTACGACTCTGAGGAATTACAACAGAACTTTACTGCATTATTAAGCTGATATGGCACCCTGTATATACTGTTGAAAAGCAGTAAACTTACATTTTGTAAGGCTTTATACAAATGAGGAGTTCCAGTGTTGGAAACACTCTGTTTGCAGATGTCAAACAGGAGTAATGATTGCAGTAATATCATTGGAAACCATCAGGAATGTTTTTACAAACCAGCCAAAAGTCTACACCCTCCGCCAAGTGATTCTCCTGATTGAGAAGCCCTTGCTGTTGACCTGGGTCTTAATATATATGTAGTTATTCATTTCAGTTTTTCTGCAACTGGTCTGCACAACGACAGATGTACTGAACTTTTTTGACAGAGAGCTACACATTGCTTTGCTCACCGAGATAAATTGATCTTGGTTTGGGTTGGCAGTGTTCAGGCTTTCTGGGGGGGTTAGTATGAGTTCTTGAGAATATTGTGCAAGGACTGTGAGAATCTCACAGTTTGTCCAGACTCACTGGATGAGGATGTCACTTTAAATCACAGAGGTCCCTGTTAAAACATGAGAAATGTTAAGAAAGAGGAAACAAAGGCCACATCTATGCAAAAACAAATGCGATTCTTTAAGCAGAATGTCTTCCACTTGATCATGAAGTGCTAATTCAAGTGGTAGGGACTATTATTACACAGCATCATATTGACTGATCATCTTTTCAGGTTATGTTAGGATGTCAGCCAAATCAAGATTAACATTCTAGTTTCTTTGCTGCATATCTGATATGTTTCAGTGCAATGCAGTATTTGAATAATAAACAGAATATGACGTGGCACCTTGTCTAACCTCTGAGAGATCTTTCCGTGCACTTCTTCCTCTCTCTGCAGGGGTTTTATATCTTTTGAAGGCAAATCCTATGTACTGGAACCATCTTCTGATCACTCTGATGGGACTCACTGGATCTACAGAGCCGAACACCTCAATTTTGCTCCTGGCACCTGTGGCCATGATTTCAACATATCCTATCCCACTGAACATGCAGACAGAGGCCCGTTCCAGACTTTCAGCACAAGGGTAAAGAACTGTCTGCATTTTATCTTCAGCAACAAGTTAACATTTTTTCTGTCTTTGTTTTTTGAAGTATATTAGTCTTTGTTGAGAGTAGAGAGAAAACACTTTTGTTTTTGCCCCCATTCACCATGAGCTGAACTCAAAGATCTAAGACTTTCTGTATGTACACAAAAGGCATATTTCTCTCATATATTGTTCACACATCTGTCAAAATCTGTGTTAGTGAAAATTTTATTTTAAAGGCCTTCACTGTATTTAGTTCAGCCACCTCACTAGGTATTCAATAGGTTAAACTGATCAAACCTGTTTCACTATAGACACTGGAAATCGATGAACCACTTTAAACCCTTTAGTGAGTATAATCAATAAAGCATTTTATGAACATTATTCATAGCTATATATTTATTTATAGGTCTGACGTTGACATTCAAGTTGAAATCAAATAAGAGATAAAAATCAATATAAAACATCACCAAGTCAATAAATAAATAAATAACAAAAATAGGCATCACACACTAAAAGCCTTGCTTGCCATAAAGTCTCCTTTGGTTTTCAGCCTAGACCTTGGAGTGGTTAGCAACAGCCTACCAGAGGATCCCAGTCTGCATCCTGGCTCATAGGGGTGAAAAGAGAGACATAGGAATGCGACCAGCCCATGCCTGGCCTTAAAAGTAATTAAAATTATTTTAGTCCCTAAAAGAAACAGGCAGCCAGTGCAAGGATGCTAAAACTGGAGTGATAGTGCAGCATTTTGAACTTATTGTAGGCGGTTGATTAATTTCTGCCTGAGACAGGTATGGTATTGTAAGTGCCCTGTTATGTATTTGAGAAGCTACTACTTGTTGAATTATTCAGTCATTCCTTCCATCTGATCTAACAGTGTCCATTAGTTCTCTGGGGTGTGTGTAGAGCGGGGGTTGATAAATGCCTGTGGAAAGTACATTGGCTGTTAAGTGACAACATTTGCTCTGAAAGCGAGATCAGCTGCTAGCTTGTACACCATCCCTTCATCAGGACCCATCCATCCAGAATTAAACAGATTGCTTTTTAGAAACCACACCCTAACCCTAACCGTACACAACTTCTGAGCAGAGGGATAAATTATAAGGGCCATGGTCCCAGGGAGTCTCTATCCTCAAAGAAGATTGAGCTTTAAAGATGATGAGTGCTGGTAAGTGGAAAACATAGATTCCAGTGATCTCTATCTGACTTGTAAGGGATGGCAAGAGTGGACGAACATGGCTGATATATCAGGTCAATACAAAGAGACACAGAGATGGGTGGTGTAAAAGATGAAACAGATGTTCAAGGACGCAAAGGGAGGGTATGCACACATATCGTTAGTGTGATGCTGCATAAATGTGAGGGACTTTCCATTTTCTTAAAACTGTTTTTAATTGTTTAATCATTTCATTAAGGGTACATTGAGATTGAGTGTATTTTCGGGGAGCAGGCCAAACATGTGGCTGCGCTGGCTAAAACGTCCAGTACTTTCACATTGTTAGTTTTTATTTATTCATGCAGTATTAGTGTTTTTCTGATGTTTTACTGTACTGTTTGATTCCTGTTGACAATTATAGTGCTGGTTTCAGTGGTAAGCATTGTCTTGTGTTATGAGGGCTGCAAAGATTCTGCACAAGTGAAGAAATCCTGACAACAGCACAATGCAGAAGTTCCTGACTGACAGAAACAGAGGAAGAAAGAGATAAAATAAGGAGAGAAAACCTCATATTGATTTATACCAGTGTGGAAATTATGGTTTAATTCTTCTGCATAAGTGTTTTTTTCTCCATGTACTTTATGTAATATTTTTTATCAGATCACAATATCCGCTTTCATTTGTTTAAAATAAAATGTCCCTATCCCTTCTAAAACAACAAGAGATATCAGGGGTAGAAGGGAAAACATCTCTACTAAGTGAAGACAGATGAGGTTTCTAAGGGAGGTGGTCAAACATGGTAATCCCACAGGTTATTAAAATTGTGAAAACAGATAAAATGGTGATGGTTGTTTTCAAAAATTGTCCCTTACAACCAGAGGAGAAAGAGGTACACTGGTAAAAACAGAATATAAGGTCTGAGAGAGATAGAGAGTAGAGGGCTAGCTGACAGGAACTGCATGAGTACCTGCAAATCTCTGTTGTCACAAGATGGACTATATATATATATATATATATATATATATATATATATATATATATATATATATATATATATATATATATATATATATATATATATATATATATATATATATATATATGTGTGTGTATGTGTGTATATGTATGTGTGTATATATACAGAGCTTTCAATCTCATCTCACAGTTTTTATTAAGCAAATGGAGCTCCATTTGCTTAATAAAAACTGTGAGATGAGATTGAAAGCTCTGTGGCCTTTGTTCCGAAGTTCTCCTCATCAGAACAGGAACTGAGGGAAGAAGAGGGAGAAGTAGTTTCAGTTTTATAGAGACAACGAAAAAAATGTGTTGTAAAATATGTGTTTTAAACTCACCTATAGCTGTAACCCATTGGATTCCTTTCAACAACAGGGATTCTCTTCACTGTGTTGTTTGTTTGTGTGTGTGTGTGTGTCTCCTGTCCAGTTACCTCCTAGAGACTTGGTTATCACCATAGGCTGCATTTAGAGCACACTTGCCCAACCTGGCTTATCTATGGAGGAGGCAGATAAGAGCAGAGAGGATCCAGGCTGCCAGGCCAGCAAGGATAAAGAGGCTCGGGATGAAAGCCGGCCATAGGGTGAAGGCAGAACACTTAGTGTGTGTGCGTGCGCGCGAGTGAAAAGACTAAACCTGTGTGTGTTACATGTGTGTCTGTGTGCAGGTGAGAGACCCTAGCTAATTGTGCGGTGAAAAACCATGTTTTATTTTTAGCCCTGCTAGCACCATTTCTAGGGATAGCAATGCTTCTTTGGTGTAGACTAGGTTTCCAAGTTTAACATTATGTACCACAAAGACATAGACTTGTTTGATTTACCATAATACTAAACTTGCCCATGCTCCACTGTATAAGTGTTCTGGTAGAGTCACTGTGAAGTTGTTACATAAATCAATTTTTAGTATATAACATGCTCTGTGAATTTTGGAAAGAAAAGCTGGAGGTGTACGTGTTTTATACTGTGTACTGCCAACAGTGCAGGCAGCACTGTCCAAAAATGGTGATTTATTAGTTAATAAGCTGGGTTCTGTAAAGTGTTGTTGGAGGTATGTGTGACCTTAGCAGTTCTTATTTGGTCAGAAGTGAAGTGTAGCTGATTGCTTTGTGCTGATTCTTGTTTCTGCCGCCTTTTGTGTAGTGTACTTCAGGTGAAAAGCCATATTGAGTGGCCACCTGCTAAATTTAGGCTGCCTATTCTAGAAAGCTGCGGTAAAGTGCATAATGCCCTTCTTCTCTCTCTACCCTCCTCCTCACCTCTTCATCTCTTGGTTTATCACTTTATACCCTCTAATCCCTCTCCTATTTACTGCTCATTCTTGCCCTCTTTGTCTCTTTCCCCCCGCCTTTCCCCCATATATTTTCTCCTTTACACCCGCCTATTCCCTGTCCACTCCCTTTCACTCACCTCTTGCAGCATAAACGCCACACCCAGTCGACGACCAAGTATGTGGAGCTGATTATTGTGGCTGACAACAGAGAGGTAAGCAGAGGTCACCCATTCTTGAGCTCTTCATCCTCTGCTGACAAATCCCACAGGAAAGGGGCTCAAAAGTCACACCGCCCCTCTGTCCCCTTGAGACGTAGATAAGATGGCTCCACCACTGCCTTGTTATCTCCTCTCATGTGTCCAATTACTCCTCTGTTTCACCTTTCAAACTCTGCATACATCATTTGACCACTTGACTCACAAATGAAACTAATCACTACTCCCTGAATCATCTCAAATCTCAGACTTAAGATGTTAAAGAAGGCAAAGAAAAAAAAGTGTTCCTTGCTGACATAAGACATATACTGTAGGTCAATGTCACATACTTTAGAGCCACAGAAACAGAATAAATGCTGAATATGAGACAAGGCGGTTGAGGTTATCTCTTAAGCCTGAGCTCTACTGAAGAGCTCTTGAATTAACATGACAGTGATTGGTGCAGAGCTCCAGGACACCCTGTGAAGACATTTCTAGAGCTGAGACAGTGTGTAAATAATAAATATAATGTCTTTGATGATAATAAAGATTCGAGTGGTCACCTCATTTTCTCCTTGCTTTATTCTATCTGCTGATGTTGTTCAGTTTCAGAAGCAGGGCAAGGACATGGAGAAGGTCAAGCAGCGGCTGGCTGAGATCGCCAATTACGTGGACAAGGTAACAATCAAATCAACAGAGGGGATGTGGTAAAGGAATGTGATTTATTATAGATCACACCAAGCTGGGTGTGAATTAACCAACCTGTGAGCAGATGCTGATTGGATTATGAATGGATGATCAATTCCATAACTCAGCTGAGAAATGTTGTGAAGATGCCACTGTAATAAAACGTGCCATGGGTGGTAGTTTAATAAAACAGAAGCGAAAGATTATTTATTCATATGGAAAGTCGTACGTTGATTAATGTAGAAAGATTTGTTCAGAGCAACATTTGTGTTTGAATAAATTATGTATAGTGAAGACTAACAGAAATGTTAGGAGAGACAGATCATAAGCCCTTAAACTGAAACCACAACCCCCCCCCCCCCCCCTCCCAATAACCTTCAGTTCTACAGGGCTCTTAATATCCGTGTGGCCCTGGTGGGCCTGGAGGTGTGGAGTGATTTAGACAAGTGTCCCGTCACCCAGGACCCGTTCACCACCTTGCATGAGTTCCTTGACTGGAGGAAGGTCAGACTTTTGCCTCAGAAGCCTCATGACAACGCTCAGCTTATCAGGTAGTTCTGGTATTGTAGCATACTCATGTAGTAGTTGTGTTCCAAAATGCATGTCACTATTTTAAATATATGATTTTATTCCAAATTATTGAGAGCACAACATTAAAAATCATGACATTTCTTTGGGTTTATTTATTCCCAGCAAAATTAAACATGATGTTTTGTAGTATGAATGCTATTTTTCATAACCAACCTAGCCCATTCTCCTGCTTCATAAAACATTTGCAAAACCTTTTTTTTTAAATTAGTCTTAGCCATTTGCTTGCTGTGAAAGCCCCATGAGATGCTAACAAAATGCTGACTGCTGACAAAATGCTAACAAAATCTATATCTTTCTCTATATATGTATTTAATCTTGATTAAAATGAGTATGTAAAGTTTGTTTACCTTTGGACCTTATATGGACAGAAATAAATATTCACAAAACTTTACAGAAAGATGAAACCTATTCATTTACAGATGCCAGCAGCAAAGGAATTAACGAGGAAGTGAGATGGGAGTTTGACTTAGTACACAGTTGTTCTAACCCGTTTCATTTGATAGATAACATAATATTGCTGTTAAAAAAATAATCATAATCATTCATATTTCACTAACCAGTACAGATCTAGATACAGATTATTAATATGGACAGAAAAACTAAGAAAATGTTTTAGCTTTACAGAAAGGCCAAAGAAACAAATGATTCCATTACAGATGCTAGTGGAACAAAGTAGTTTTTTAAAATAAATGTAATTTTTGGCAATGTTGGTCAGTATGTCTTTCCATCTGTCGTTTGGTTAGTCCCTCACTTTGCTAACTTGTTAAAGTAAGATGTGTTAGTTTAAAGCACCACTGTGCCTAATTAAACCCTCACAGAGCCACTAGTGAAGCTGTAGACTCTTAAGGGCAAATTCACAAAAGGATTGGGCAGCCTTTGCAATCGCTAAACCTGCCCACATAAAACAAAAAAGAAAATGGGTAAGTCTCAAAGCACTTGGAGAGGGTGAAATTCACCCCTAACTGCACTGCCAAGCAAGTAGAATCTTAGTGCTATTTGTATGTATTTAAATTAAGTAATATGCCTGAATTTGGTACAAGACTTGCCCCTTTCTGTAGAAATGAGCCTTATTGCAAAAAAAGTCCTATTCACATACACCAGTGCTGGTAGGCGCATGCAGTTAGAGTGAAATTATTAGCATCTTCGGAGAGGTGGTGGTAACTGAAGCGCATTTATAACAGGTACAACACCCACACTTTCCAATGATCATGGCAACTGTGATGTAGCCAGGCGAAGCAGTAGTGCATCACAGTTCATCATGTGCACACAGGTGGCACAGACCACGAGGGAATGAAACTGGAAAACAACATAACCTACTGCTGTGAGAAGCGGAGACGGCGGTTACACACTCCAAAAGTCCAGCGCAGAGGAGAGAAAACAGATCTCTAACTGTACATTGTAACATTTTTTTGAGAACAAAATTGACGTAACAACAGTTAATGGCAATCAAATCGGTACTGAAAATTGCAGATAAACATTTAATGGATGCAAAACAAGGGCAAATTGCACTCGGCTGCAAAACTTTTATTTGGGCCTGTTTGCGCTGTAATATCATTAACGAAATATCTTTTGTGAATCGGACCTTGAGATGGGGCAGATAGCAGTTGCAAGTGATAGGCAATTCATGGTGCTATCATCGTCCACAATCCGTTCTTTAATTACACATAAGGTGATTTGACATGCAGGCCTAGTAAGTAACTAATGAAATGTTTCCAACCCACTTTAGAAAGTCCTGCAGTCATCAAAACTTTGCTCTACAGTGCCACTTAAAACTCTCCCAGGGACCTTTACCTTCACAGTTGAAGTGTAAAGACATACTTTATGTTTATGATGTGATGACCTTGGTTTTCTCCCTCTTTAGTGGGGTCTATTTCCAGGGCACCACCATTGGGATGGCACCCATCATGAGTATGTGCACAGCAGAGCAGTCGGGAGGAATTGTCATGGTATGTAATCCTCTGTGTTACAATACCCATGCTCAGATACCTTTTATCCACCCTAAGGCAAAACAGTACAAAAGAAATATTTGGCATGTTGTTGACTTCCAGAAAGGAGACCAGACTTATTTTATCCTTTTCCTCTTCCTGCCTTCCAACTCTTTGCCTTGTTCTCCATCACCCTCCTGTCTGACATAATACTCTCATATTTCTCCCCTGCGTCTCTAGTGTAAGGGTTGAGCTAAGGATTCTAGAGTTGATAATAACTTATATTAACTTCAGGACACACACATCATTGAAGATTTTCCAGGAAAGCCAAGGGTATGCATAGTACCAGAGTATCGGAGTGTGTTTTGAATACACCAGTGGAAACCTTTGCTTCGTAATGAGGTGCAACCAATGAGTGAATTTAAGGGTACAGCATAGCACAGCCTGAATGAAAACGTAGAAAAATGTCATAAATGATCACCCATTACATAACTGCAACCCTATACTGTGTGCGCAAGTCATGTTGTATTAGTGCAAGTCTTGCTATTATTTTATACTCTATGTCTCTGAGTGGCTGTTTGTCTTGTGGCCTGGCTGGCTGGTGGTAAGTTTTATAGCTAGTCCCCAGATGGTTCTTAACTCTTGTCTTCCCAGACGGTAAAGTAGGGACTTTTCCATTTTGATACAGCTCTACAAACACACATACATCAGGTCAGAAATAAAGGATTATTCTCTTCTGCTGGGAAAATCACAAGCCCGTTGTCTCCCTGCATCTACAGAGTACCCTTGAACTCATTAGCCAACTAAGTCTTAAACATCGATTCTCAAACCATCTGGAATCTCCATTTACCAGCCCTGTTCATTTCATTGAAGTGGTGAAACGTAACCCAGACAGTGGCATGTAGTGTCCCCTTGAGCACTTCAGCCTCATCAGTCGGTAAAGGTGTCTGGGATTTTCCAGGAAACAGAGGTTTTTTGCACAAATCCAGTCTTCACAGTTGGATCACGGCAATTGCTGACAGCTGATGACCGTTCCTTTCGAAAGCCCCCAGCAGAGCGGTTCATCAGCCTGAGCTTGACTTGCACAGCACTACTGAATAATGCACAGTGGTGGAATACTCTAGAGGCAAGGTGCTCTGATGCACAGCTCTGCATCCATGAAGAGCTGATAGCTGCTGCCGCTACATTATTTATCCAGCCTCTTCATGTGTTCATGTTTTACACACCTTGCAGGAAATCACGACAACTCAGCCAACAGCAGCTTTCACTGTAGCTTCATCTCCGCAGTGCATCCACTCAGTCTGTTTTTCATTTATGTTATCTTTTTTCTGTCTTTCAACCTATTTGCTAGTTCTGTTCAGAGGAGGTTCTCTTCTGTCTTTATTTGTGTGGATGAAGCAGCATATCTGGCTCTGAAAAAGTTTGCCAGGCAAGCTGAAGGTGACAGCCCGCAGTCTGCTATTTCATTTCTCACTTCAGTGCCACAACGTCGAGCAGAAGAAACGCTCTGATAAGCACAGATCCAGCAGCTTTGTTTGTTGAATGTTGGCAATATGCAATTACACTCACTTGTTTTGAGTAATGTTTCTCCAGTGGGTCCTGTGGGAAACAACAATTTGGCTAGCATAATTTTTTTTGTTATTTGTTATTTTCCTCAGAGTATGTAATCAAAAACATCTGTTTTAATTAGCTATTGTTCACTGCAAAAGACTTGTAAAGTGAACACATTCTATTATGGGATGTTGCTTGTAGCATCATATATAGCCTAAAAATATACCCAATAAATCAGAGTCCTAAAGTAAAGCGGTTTTAGATAATATATTGGCTGGATGAAATGGCAAGTTCAGTTTCTGCATGATTGATCTTTTTTTGTAGGACCATTCGGACAACCCCCTGGGCGCTGCGGTAACTCTGGCCCATGAGCTCGGACACAACTTTGGAATGAACCATGACACGCCAGAAAGAGGGTGTGGGTGCAGGGTGACAGTGGATCGTGGAGGCTGCATCATGACTCCCTCCACCGGGTGAGTCACTCTATCTATCTTGACAATTGAGAGTCAGTAGATCTTTAAGAAAGCCGACTCTATACTCTTTACTGCAGTACACAAGATTACGGGAGTTTTATTTCATGTAGTTGGCCTTCATTAGCCTCAGAACATACACTTTCATACACTACTTCAGTCCATCCAGTAAGGCTGCTTTTGTTTCTGTTTTGCAAATTACGTCTAACTCCAAATCCTTCTGAAATGCATCATCATGATGTCAAACCATCATTAAGTTTGCATTAATTTAGTCACTTATTAAATACAGCAAGATTGTGATCTTATGTAAACATTATTCCACATGCTCTCCATTTGTAATTTATTGTCTGTCGAGCGGTAAGCAAATAATGCTCTTGAACTGTTGGGCTGATGGGTTTATGGCAGATTCAACAGCTGCGTTAATGCCCTGAGGCAATATGACTCATTCTGAAAGGAAAGTCAAAGGTTCAGTGGCAGCGCATGGCCTAAACAGTTTTACTTATCCTGACACAATGTAGCTGATCTCCATTAGACTAAAGAAAACTGTGCATAAAGTGTCTGTTGCACATGTAGAACACATACTATGCTTCTGTAGCCAGAGTGTGTGAGTGAGATATTGCACTTAAAGTATTGTGTAAACAGAAATTAAGTCTAGTTGCATCTAACAATATACCAGTACAGAGGTGTGATTGTTTCTACATCTTGTAGTAGACCAGAGGGACAGGGATGTTCTGAGTGGAAACACTGGGTTCCATCAGTTCCATCCCAAGGTCTAGTGGTCTGTGGGAGCTTCAGATTGGTGTTTATACTGGAAGCAAGTCTTTTTATTTGGTTTGGACCATACCCATGAAAAACAGGGTAACGGTATTCTTGATTATAGCCTCATAAAACAGCAAAGCAGCGAGATGTAGATTTATATTTAACTCTGATTGAGGGTATCCCTGGTCAAGGACTTTGTCCTCAAATTGGCAACAAGATAAACACATAAAAAAGAGCAAGAAATGCTTGATTTCGTCTTTCTCTACTCTGTCCCTCCCTTGCTGTCTCATTTTCTTCCTTATTCACAGCCAGTCAGATGGATTCTATTCTTTGACACACATGCAACTTTAATGTTGGAAAATCTCTTTCCTGCGCTTCGAATAAATAGTTAAATACCTTTGAAAACTGTCTATTATACAGTTTTTATATATGGAAAACCACCTCTTCCTTAAAATATCTGAATCTGAAGTCATATGTAGCAGTGACAAAACTAGTAAAAAAAAAGTAGTTTGTACCAAACATAGACTAGTGAGAAAAAAAATAAGACATGAATATTTAGTTTTTTTCTTTTTTCCACAGAGACTGTTTTTTTCATTCCAGCTGACAAAAGAAAGAAATGATCTAGTCCTTGGTTTCAAAAATAATCCCCTCTACACCTCCTTATTGCTCCATATTACTGCTCTGCTATTTAATCCAGGATTCAGGAAGCAATACATTTAAATAAGGATGTCTAGGAACTCTATTCCCTCGTTTTACTTCCTCAGGTAATTCCTGGTCAGCACTATATCCTCTGCCTGAGGCAGTACTACATCTCCCATGGGTCCAGCTCAAGCCTGTCGCAGTTCCATGCTTTAAAATGCCATGTGCCCACACACATGGGCTCTGCTGTAAACACCTGAATGTTGTTCATCACCCGGCAGCTACAGTTATTTGTTTATAGAATTGACTGCCATGTTTTTCTAGGCAGGCGACCAGCTCTTTTCAAAGCACAATGCGATTATGCAGAATGCCTCTTCACAAGGCCAGGACTTGGATGACTTGTAACAAAAGCCCCACTGATTACCAGCCCCTGCATTCAATATTTGAAAGTACTTGCAAATCTCGCATACACTCCGCCAGTGAGGAGTACCTTGTGTTTTGTTTTTGTTGGTTTGATTGATCTTTCATTTTGATCAAATATAGTGCAAAATGTCTTTGTCACTGATCCCTGATACCCATCAAGCTCCCCTGGCCTTGCTGTTGTTCCAAGAATTGAGCAGGGGAGATGATGAGATCCAGTTTATCATTATTACACTGGGGCGGTGGGGAGGGGGTTATGGGTAGGTGGTGGGGGCAGTAAAACTAAAAGCTGTCCCAGTGCCAGTTGCACATCTGCACAGAGCACTGCTTGTTTCCTGCTCACATTGGTCATGGCCAATTGTCGCATCCCCCTCTCCATCCATCTCTCTATCCCCCCATTAGCTTTAAATGAGAACAGGCTGGTGTCTCTCATCCTTGGAGATTATAGCTCCTTAAAACACACAAACACACACACACACACACACACACACACACACACACACACACACACACATAACAATGTAGGTGCTGCTGGCTACTCCACTGACAGAGGAACATACAAAATAATTTATTTGTAGAGCACTTTTCAAAAACAAGTTACAAAGTGCTTTAACAAGTGTAAAGACAATAATACAAAAACAATACATGATAAAAGCAAGAAAACATTGAAAAGACTAAAATACACGTTTAAGATAAATATAAAATAGGTAAAATAGAATTAAAAAAAAAAGTCAAATTAAATCGGGAAAGGCACTCCTATAAAAGTATGTTTTAAGAAGGGACTTAAAAGAGTTCACTGACTCAGCTGACCTGATTTCCTCAGGCAGGCTGTTCCAGAGCCTCGGGGCCCTGACAGCAAACGCTTTGCCCCCTTACATATGTGAACAAACATGCAAGAGCCATTTCTCTCAGAGACCAAAACAAGAACTCCACAGGGTACTGTGCTTGGTCCACTTCTCCTCAGCTGTGGCTCCAGAGGTAGACTGGGTCCTTAACCCCAAGGTTGGCAGTTCGATCACCGGCTCCTCCTGTCCAATTGTCTTGAGCAATACATAGACCTTCGAGTTGCTTCCAATGGGTGCTTTGCATAGCAGCTTTGCTGCAATCTGTGTGAATTAGTGAATGAAAGATAAAATTGTAAAGCGCTTTGTCTGTTCAGATAGAAAAGAGCCATTTAAATACAGTCCATTTACCATTCAGTTCTATAGTGCTGCTTCTCAAGATTTAATGGTCTGCTTTAAGAAACATTTGCTATTGTTCTGACACCCAGTGTACTTGCTTAGTTATTTCATCAACAACTATGGCCCCATCCACACTACTGACTTCATTTTAAAACAGAGACCTTTTGCTACATTTGCACCTCCCGTCCAGACTAAAACGGAGAAGTTTGAAAACGCTGCCGACCCTGTTTTTCGTTTCAAAACTCCAGAGGGCATTTTAGTGCGGATGTACAAAAACGGAGGACTTTAGAAATGATTACGCAGACGCTCACGTTTGGCTCTGTGATTGGGTCTCATAAGTTATGCAAAGTAGAAACACGATGCAACTGACAGAGTTTTTGACTTGGTATTTTTATTAAAATATTTTGTATATGATATGTGTATTATATACAGTATATATGTTCCTATGAAAATAAATTTTAATTAATAAAGTCACTTGCCATCATTTTCAGTCATACAAGCTGCATCCTGTTGATGGACTGTCTATCAACAGGATGCATTAAGATAGGGTTAATTCACTCATGGGCTGTGCCATAAGTAAAATCATATATGATACATTTATCTAGTCATAAAATAATCACAGAAAGTGTGTCAGAGTCCAAGGCATGCCATGGAAATATGACCCGTGCCCCTCTGAAGAACAGGAACTCTCTAGTATGTCTTGTTTAATTGGGTCCATAGGGAAATCAATGTGAAAATGCTCTTCAGTATCTACAATGTAGGCCAGACTGCCAGGCACCAAAGGCCACAACAGATCATATCACCTAATGTCATCGCCCAGCACTCAGGCTGTACATGCACAAAGAAAGCCATAATATTAATATTAAATGTGTAGTGAAACAACTGTGGTTTTGAATTACTTACGCAAGTATGGAATATTTGTCATAGTTACAGATGTCACAGTCACGTTTGAATGAGCTTTCATTCACATTTGTGCCAGAAGATCGAGGTCTTTCAAAATGTAATAAAACTGCAATAACAGAATGAAGATAGGGTCACAATCAGTGTTTTCAAATTTAGAATTTTCTCTAAAAATGTTCTCAGGGATCATAGAAAATGTATTTGCAGATGTGTCATTGGAAAGGCCTGCAGATCTGATTCATAGCCTGATCAGTGTTTTATGGCTGAAAAGATGTGACATAAACTGGCTGTGCAGAATGTGCTGGATGTGTTTCCCTGCATTCTCTGTGATCTGAATCACGAGGACAGACAGGCTAGGAGAAGAGAGCCCTGCCCAGCTAAATTTGGGCTAAAGGGCTCTGTCTATTTTAATGTGATACTTTGCCTTAAGAGCATTCTAATGGTTTGTGAAAAAAGTTTTGTTCATAGTCTACAGCAAAATCATATATAAACATGACCTTCATGTGTTTGTCAGGCAACATTTTCACCAGAAATGTGTCATTTGTTTCATTGCTGAAAGCAGACTGTACTGACTATACTGTTCCTAATACATTGAGTTTAGTAGAGCAACCTTTTGATTTCACAGAGATCTTCTGCTTCATTTCAGCTTTCGGTTGTATTTGTTTTTACCTGTGAAGTTTTTTTATGGATATGCTCAAACCACATAATTGTACATTGTTGTCATCATGTAATGCAGATAGTATAAAACAACACAAATTTGTTGAGATAAAATCATTTTGCTGCTACTAGGATTTCTGTCTTGAATGTGTTTTTTTTGGTTTTTATAAAACTGGTGTCTTACAATTGGATTGACAGATATCTTAAATCTCTCAAAGAAGGTCAATGGAAAGTAGAGACAGAACAAAAGAAACGGAGCCAATAGAAATGTATGCAGCTTTGGTTTTGAGTTGTCAGACATACCATATAATAGTTAATGTCTTTTCTGATTACTTTTTCTCTAACTCTCCACAAAAATGTGGGTTACCTGTTACAGTTCATCCACCCCGTTTGGAAGCCTTCAGATCTGTGATATGATCACAGTGTGGGGCAGATAATAGATGCCTGTGATAGATCTGGGAATGATTCCTTATCACCAGACCTCCCACAGAGCCATTAAAGTTCTGTTTGGCCATTGCAGCAGCTTAGTCACAGTGCATGCTTTGTACACTCTATCAACCATCAACTGAAGTACCTCTGAAGCTTAGGAGCAACTGTCAAACACTGACTGTAGCTTAGAGATGAACAAAGGAACACACAAAAGAGAAGAATTGATCCCATAATGGAACTGGAGCATGACCAGGTGGAAAACAATGCAGCAGTATAAGAAAAAAGAGCAGTCTTCGAAACCAGGCAAAGGTGAACACTGCTCATCCTTTGGAAAGCCAGAACAGGATGAGAACAAGCCCGAAGGTCACAGAGTCATACTGGGTCTTTTCTTTTGAGGTGGTGGCCTAGACTCCCATAGGATCCCATGGGATGAGTGGTTGTCTAGAGTGTCTTTAGTTCACTATGAGCCCCAGATGTGCCCTGGCACTGCTTTACTAGCCCTGGGGATTGCAGCTGCTAAATGCCATCCACTGTAATTCATCGGTGCCTCTGCCTTTTCACAGTCATTATCCCTCCTCCCACCCCCGGACCATTGCAGGGTAGACCAATTATTTCTGTATTGCCTCTCATAAAGAACAGCTGGATCCTGAGCTGCTCAGAGTTACAAAAAAAACAGGGATGTGAGTGTTTGTCATGGATTGTATGGGCTGGTAACTGAAGAGAAGGACTGAGTTCATGGAAATTAAATAAACGCAGCAAAAGAGGGGGTGTATACTGAGCAAGCAATTTTGGCTTGAGCTTTGGGGGCAAAGAGGAAATCAACAACAGCAGTTGCTAAGGAAGTCGCCTGCCTGTTGAACAGCAGCCTTGACAGCTGTTCATCATAGTAAGATCCCCTGAGGTGCTCAGATAAAGGGGGTGGAGGGCGGTCTTTCCTTATAGCTCTTTCCTTTTGCCATTTAATTTCATTACAAATCTACTGTGATCTTTAGCTTTAATCCAGTGTGTATAGAGATTTGCTTCGAGTGGCCACACTTTCACCTAACACAACCTCTGGATAGTATTGATGTTAGAGGTCTGTGTTGGGGTTTTGGGGTGGTCAACAGCAGGAGCTGATGTAAGCTGCCTCCACACATGACAGAAATCAGAGGCAAGCCTGGAATGAGGTAATGTCAAAACATTTGTTCCATGAAATGAAAAACTCTAGATACAAACTAACCAATTTCTATTGGGGCTTTTTAATTTCTATGTCAAAACAGTTCAAGGCTCAGCTTTATAGTTGAAAATGAATTGACAACTCCACCACACTGAACTCATGAGTCACTTATATAAATACATCAATGAGCTGCATTTATCGCACTGCCTAAGAATATTATATGACTTTGTTACTCTGTGATCCATAGCACCTAAGGCCTTGTATCAATTGAACCATGACATGTTTACTATCCTTTCAACACTGTCATTTTCTAGACCACAAACACTTCACAAGCTAACTAGCCGATTTCCCTTGCCCATGGAATATGTTTGATTTACTCTGGGGGATATTTGCTTATCTGGACATTCTTTGCTGCTCTGAATTGTAAATGACTGTGAGATGGACACATTGTATATTTTAAAAAAAACATTAAAATGAATACCTACAAAAGTTTATGAGCAAACTGGGCTTGTGCTTCAACTGCGTCAGCTTCTGGTGTCCAGCTGTTGAGTATGTTGCAAACCTGTTAAAAGAAACATTTGGGCATCTAAGTTGACCTGAATCGCCTACATATTGTCTCATACATGTGCCCATTTGTGTGCACAAGATCAGAACATATATATGTGTAAATGCTATGAACGGATTCACCTATTTTGGCCTTGTTAGGCTGAAATTTATGCTGTGGGAGGTACTAAAAACCTCATATGGTGGATTTTATCAAGAGCCACATAGAGAACAAGATACAATCTGCACATATTCATGCACACTTCACACACACACTGTCATCTAAAGCACTATGTTATCACAGAAAAGCTCAGTAAAGCCACATGAGGTCTGTAACAAAGCTTTTGGCAGACAGAGCTCTGGGCTGTGTGCTTTCCCCACGGAGCAGACCACCCTCTCTGTCCGCTCCAAAAACAATATTAAAAACACACCATCCCCCATTTCTCCCAAATTTATGGGTGTTGCAAGTCTTGCAAAGGAAGCACTTTTTGGTTTGAGTTTTTTATGATTTCTTGTCTCATAAAATATGTCTTATCAGATCTCCTTCTCTCTGTGGAGGGAGAAGTCACTGGGGCCCCGTGCTGTTTGCATGCTGATGGAGCTTTGGAGAGGTTGCTGAACTCTAGTGGTTAATTGATTTTGTGATTAGCAGCAATTAGCGCTGATTATGTCAGACTGAAGAGGACCCTTGTGGGGGATCTCATTCGTCTTCCTCCTCCCTCTCTCTGTTTGTCACTCACAAAATATGTCTTTCACCCCCAGGTATCCGTTCCCCACAGTGTTCAGCAGCTGCAGCAAGAAGGACCTTACAGCCAGTTTTGAAAAAGGCGTCGGAATGTGTCTATTCAACATGCCTGAGGTCAAGGTCCTCTATGGTGGGCAGAAATGTGGCAACGGCTACGTAGAAGAGGGAGAGGAGTGTGACTGCGGAGAACTTGAGGTGAGAGTGCTAAAAGTCATGTTAAACAAAGTGTTTTTAAATCCAGACCTCATACAATTCTGTAGCATTTTTATTTAATGCCCCTTCAGCTAAAATTTAAATCTCTCTCTAAACTGCTACCCATAAATCATTGTTAATTATGTTTCCCACATTTGAGAAATGGTATTAGGAGAAGCGCTAGTGGGGGTTTCTGTACCTTTCCTTACCGGAGCATGGCACAAACCCAACATTTACCAAAGTAAATACACATAGTTTACCTTGGTTTAAAAGCTAATGGCACATAGCTCTCCTAATGCAAACACAGGCTTTAGAAAATGAGCTTAGAGATATAAGTGTGAATTTATTCCTTCTGTGCGCTGAAGAGGTGGGAGGAAGGTTGTCTGATCGTGCTACAGTTCACTGGAGGAACCATCGCAGACAGCTTCACCCTGTCAACTAGTGAATTATTTAAAAGAATCAGCATTGTCATGCACATACATAATGGTGGCACACGTTGGTAACTGTAGGATGATAAAACAGTTTCTCATCATGCAACTGACAATCAGCAGAGACAGGCTGACAGTAAACAGAATTATGAAATATGAGGTAGACATCTATTATGATTTGGAAGGATATTTTGAATTATATAATAGCCTATGTGAGAGAATGCCTTGTTGTCTTTCGTGATTTGTGATTCGTGAGCTGTGCAGGTTTCAGCCAGGGTCAGGCTGAAAGTGGCCTTGTCCCTCAAAACAAAGAACTGACATAAGCCCAGCAGGCCTGAGCCAGCAGTGAAAATAAAGCTTGTCACAGAGTTGAGCATGCCAACCCAGGCCAGATCAGAGTGGTCACACAGCACCTCTCTCCACCATTAAAAAGCCTCATTAAAAAGCCTTGCTCCTATTCCTTACAATCACAGGCTACTTCTTTTCAGAGGGACTCCTCCGCCTCCTTTGGCCCCGGGGACCATGGGAAAGGCCCTTAATGGTTTTCAGGCTGAAAGAAGTTCTGGAAGGCCTATCATGTCAGCAGTGTCCCCTGCCAGCTCCATCTATCTACATCCTTTTCAACTCTTACTGCACTCAGCTGTACAGTATGTTCAGACCGTGGCTTAATGGCAAGAGGGAGAGAACTGACCCTCAGGGGTCCAGTGAACCTGCCCATGTGTGAGATCATACATGCACAAGCACATACACATCTTCTAAGCTGAGCCTTGATTGAATGCTAGCTTCCATCTGTATCAGAAGGCAGAGAGCCGCTGATAAGTGTGGGGCATTGTTCATGATAAAGCCTTAAATGAAGCAGATGGGCCTCTATGGTGAGATGGGAAATGGTACAGTACAAATACTGTGTTACTCTCTGCACTGCGAAAAGGGCAATTCAAAAATGCCTTAATATTTTATTTTACATTATCCAAAATAAATAATCCTATCAACCACCTTTCACATTTGATTATTAAAGAGTAACTTAACACCAGGCTGAAAAACAGTTTTCAATCAGAGAGGGAAGTGAAACATTTCAAGTCACCTTCAACCAGCCAGCATGTCACTGATCGGTGGGGTCAGAAGTTTGCTGTGTTTCATCCATAACCACACCCAACAGTGATGTCACCAGGTCTTGGGGTGCTCCTGTACATCACTGCAGTAAGGAGAGATGTTAAACCACTGGAGGTCACCAAAGACAAGAATTTCAGGGAGTGTTAAGTTACTCTTTAAACTTGTTTCAAGGTAACTGGTCTTGATTTTTCTTAGTAAAATATGTCATCGGTATGGGTTTCATCCCTGACTGCTGTAGTCACTACCTGAACAGAGGTGGTGCGATTATTTGGGCAGTGTAGTGTAAATATCTGTGTGCGTTAAAACCTGCTGGTGAAACCCCTTATGTAAAGAAGCAGACAAATTTGGGTCTTCTTTCCAGATAGGTCTTTATATTCCTGTTTTGGAATATGAAATAAAAGACAAGTTCAGTCTTACCAGATCTTTTTCTTACCCCAGTTGATACTAGCCAGTTGCACAAAATTGCTTGTACAAGGGATTTTTTTGCAATATGTCCTTTTTTTCCTTCACCATCCAGCTCATGTCTGTAAGTCCCGTCAGATAGAAACATTGTTTTTAAAGAACTAGAAACTGCTGTTTCCTTTACTCTTCCAGGTTTTTTAGTTCTTACAAAACACAGTCCTGCTAGGGCTGGATCCCCTCTGATAACAAAGTCTGAGCATTTGCTCTGAGGTGAAATATGATCCCTTTGTGCTGAGATAATTCTTCTTTACTTTTGTTCCACCTCACTAACATTCCATTTCTCTGCTTGCCTTCTTCTTTCTTTCTTTACCATCTGAAGGAATGTATGAATCCCTGCTGCAATGCTACTACCTGCACCCTGAAGGGGGATGCTGTTTGTGCACACGGACAGTGCTGCCAGGACTGTCAGGTAGGATGTATACTGATAAGCCAGACTTGACTTAAGGCATCTTGACATAAAGATGTATTCTCTGAATAACTTAAATCGTAATTCAGCACCATTAACAAAATTTGGTAGATATTTCTCCAGAGTTTACCACATATTTTTCTGAGAATCACCATGCGTCTTTGTCTTAATGTCACTTGCTTGCTGTCAACATTTGTGTAGCTGAAGCCAGCAGGCACTCCCTGCCGTGAATCCAGTAACTCTTGTGATCTGCCTGAGTTCTGCACCGGTAGCAGCCCTCACTGCCCCGCCAACGTCTACCTGCATGACGGCCACGCCTGCCACAACAAGGACGGCTACTGTTATAACGGCATCTGTCAGACTCACGAGCAGCAGTGCATCACATTGTGGGGCCAAGGTATGTGGAGGGCCCCCTTGCAATGCCTGTGAATGGCTCAACAATGTCTGCTAGCTTTTTAATATATTTCATTGGATTTTGTAGGAGCAAAGCCAGCTCCAGGCATCTGCTTTGAAAGGGTCAACTCAGCAGGAGACCCCTATGGCAACTGTGGCAAAGACTCCAAAGGCTCCTTTGCCAAATGTGATGCACAGTAAGACCTGACGTTCCCATAGAAACCAGTGAATGCATTTAATTATATGTCAGTTGTGGAATGCAGTGAAGAACATATACTGTACTTGCTTTGTGTAAAATAAATTGTCCTTGGTATGAGCATAACTAAACATGCTTATGTGACTGGACTTTTGCTAGGGTGGAGACTGGAAAGCTTGTGATTCACTAGGGCTGTAGCAATCAGTTTCTTAAGTAACTAAAAGCGTAAATGCCAAATTGATTCCAGCCTCCTACTGAATATCAGCTGTTTTATGAAATTGTATATCGTTGTATTTTTGACAGTTCAAATAAAACAAGTAATTTAAAGACCTCACATTAGCTCTGGCAACTTGATGAGCTTTCTTCATACTTTTCTGACATTTTATAGACTTAACTATCAATCAAAATGTAAAATTAAACAATGGAAATAATTATTAGCTGTGCTCTAACTGAAGGTTATGGCGTAATTTGGTGAAATCGAGTTCAAGTTACAAAATCTTTCAGATTGTGGTCTGAAAAAAGCATAAACAAATAGCTTGGTCTGCAGTTTCCCTAATTGGACTGCAAGAGTGAGAGAAAAAATAATTGTGTGTATATATACACATATGGAAAAACAGTGACATGTTATTTAATTATCACATTGTTATACTCCCTGTTGTTCGTTCTGTTTACAGAGATGCTAAATGTGGCAAAATCCAGTGTCAAGGAGGGGCTAACCGCCCAGTAATTGGTACCAACGCTGTTTCCATAGAAACAAACATCCCCATGCAGGAAGGGGGAAGGATACTGTGCAGAGGTACACATGTCTACTTGGGTGATGACATGCCCGACCCTGGCCTGGTCCTGACGGGGACCAAGTGTGGAGATGGAATGGTGAGAGCTAAGGCCTGGGACAGTCAAAAACAGCCAGTATAGATACACATTCAACACACTAATCGATCCAGCATGCAACTGACTCATCAGCAGTGGTGGACAGTACTGTGCCTAAGTACACTATTATGGTACATTACATTTTCATTTTCATTTATCTCACTGCTGGATTTGGTTGCTTTGCAAATTAAGATTTTACAAATGATCAGTTTGTAAAATGTGATAAGTTGTTAGTTATTCTAAACTACCAAACAGTATATAAAGTAATAAAAGTTAATTACCATAATGCTGTATGATTCACTCTATTAAATAATACAGCCCTATTAAAGTAAGTAAAAGCACTTTTCAAAACCTCTGTTACAAAGTTCTTCTACTTCTACTTTTTTTTAATCTTAAAATCTATCTTAAAATTCTCACCTGCCCATAGACTCATTGTGAGACTTAGTGGTGATAATAAAATATTCCCTTAAAAAGTTACTGTTTTTTTAGTACAAAATTCTCTGTGTTTCCCTGGACATTGATTCCTTATCGAGCTTCAGTGGTGGGTTAGTACCACAAAGAGGGATTTTTTAAAACTAAGAGACCCACTTGATTTGACTTGGCTGAACTTTAGAATGCATTTTTGTACAGATTAAGGACTGCAGATTTTGTCACCGTTCACCCATTGTCTCAGTGTGTACATATGGGTATGTGAGTATTGTTTTAAGACACCCTAGCTATCTGTAAGACTGCAAAAACACACAAAATGTATTTCCCAAATGCTGGGAAATAAGAGTGGAGGTGGAGTGACAGGCCATGACTAAGACCTTGTAAGAAGTTCTTCAGGGTGTGTCCTCTTGTCATTTCAGACTTGCACAGACTCAGACACTTAATTGACTTACCATTATTCAGTCTGTTTGGCATCTTCCAGTGGTCATCAATTCAGCCATTGGTCACTTCAATGATACAGTTTCTCCATTTAGTCTAATTTGAGCCTCCACCCTTAAGGAGGATCTAGCTTCAGCCCTCATTTGTCAAGGGTTCTGGCATTACGCTTTGTGCCCAGTGCTGCCAAGTTCATCTTCAAATTCAGCCTCAATGTATGTGGGTGTGGTGCCTTTAAGGAGCCCACAGTCCACATCACCCAACTTTTAAAAGGCAGCTTTAATTCGTTTTTTTGGAAAATCCCAGTGTTAACATAATTATATTTCATTCTGTTTCTATGCTGTTTTATAACTGAATTGGTTTGTTAGTGGCAAATTTTTAAAAAAAAATAGAAAGCTGGATCTGTTAGTCTTTTCCCTTAAAAGATTAAAGGGTTTAGAATATTACTGAAATGCTCTTAGAGCTCACATTGTCAATTTTTAATGTCTTTGTCTGATTCAGATGTGTCTGAATCGTCAGTGCCAGAACGTCAGTGTTTTTGGAGTGTATGAGTGCTCAGCCAAGTGCAGCGGTCGAGGGGTGAGTACAGGACCTTTCATCCCATTTCAGTGTTGTGAAGACATGATGTGATAGCTGTCAAACCAGCCCCACCCAAATTGGTTGTTTACTTTACTATCCCATTCCTACCTCACACAGAAGCTCATTTTGGGTGTAAAATTTTCAAAATGCCCAGTATATGGTGGGTAGGGAGCCATTACAATGCCTTGCTATCAATCATTCTGGTTGCTGAAAGTTTCAATGAATTACATATAATGGCTTCATCTATGCTCAGCTTTAAGTGCTGGTCATCATACTCGTAGGCATTCGTCCTTGTCCCAAAACTGTGTTGACATCTGAAGGCCAGGCTTTATTAGGCCAAACACTAGGAGCAGTGACACACAGTTTGACTTTGAGCTGGGGAGCATGTATATTGGATTTTTCTTACATGCCACCCATCAAACGTCTATGGGTGGTCCTGTCTGAGATGAAATATGTGGCTTTGTGGTATTACCCTTAAATTCACTGGTAGGTCCAGACTGTGACTGGTAAAGTTGCTCCTTCATCAAAGCTACAGATGAAACTGTTTTTACTATCTCTTAAAATGAAATGTCTCCAGTGATTAAACGTCATATTTGTTTGTCTATTTCCAATTAAGACATATCTATAAAGCTCTAAGGACTGTTTTACACAAGGAGACAGGGCACCCCTGCATGCACAGATTAGATCAAGATGTTGCCTTGGAAAGAGGCCCTCACCTGCTTCATATTACCCTGCTGGGGAATCCTCTTAGACATTACCATTCCTCTACTCTGCAGGGCAGAAAGACAAGAGAGACCGAGATAAAAATGTGGTATGAGGCAAAAAGTCGCTGGGTTGTATACCAGACGTCTTCATGATGTGGAGCCTAACAGTGCTGGCTGGCAAATAGAGCAACTGCATCATGAGTATTTGTTGACTGTGATGTCTAGGGTTGAAACATCGCAGACAGAAAATTAATTAGGAATAATTTAAATAAACAATGAATCGTTCAAAGTCAATTCTCAAGCAAAAATCCCAAATGTTCAATGATTCCAGAGTGTCAAAGTGAGGAATTGCTTCTTTTCTCTTATTTATATAAATGTTAACAGATTTTGGAGAGGGGTTGACAGTTGGTTAGAGAAAACGTGCATTTCAAAGTGGTCACCCTGGGGTCCTGGTTGTAGATGAATTATTGGATTTATTGACAAACAATCTGTAGATTAATCCATAATGAAAATAACCATTATTTGCAGCCGTAGTGTTGTCACTCAAGTTTGAATCCAAGTTTATGAACATAACTCATTTGTCTTAAGCGTATGCACTGTAGCCCGATGGGTGCAGAAGCTGCATAATGATGATGCATTTTGGGCTCATCTAACAGTTAATTGTCCTTTTTAAATATACTGCAGGTGTGCAACAACAACAAAAACTGTCACTGTGAGGCTCACTGGGCGCCTCCATTCTGTGACAAGGCAGGTTTTGGAGGAAGTGCGGACAGTGGCCCCATCAGATTAGCCGGTAAATAAACAGTTGCAACTCAAGTACATCAAATGGTTGATTTATTGTAGCTTGAATCATGTTATGTTATAGGTCTTGGACATGTACGAGCATTTAAAGTACTTTATAATGTAATGTATCAATGGCTCAATTCTCAGGAGCAAAGTGAATCCTAAAAGTTTGGTTTTTTCTACAAAACTGTGTTTATCTCTGCAGAAAACCGTGAAGAGTTTCAGACTGCAAACATTAAAACTTGAAAGACAAGTCTGCGGAAATGTTTACAGATAAAAGTCTGACTTCCGTATTTATTTCTGAGCAGACAGCGGGAATCTAACAGTGGGCATCCTGGTGGCTCTCCTCACTACCCTGGGAGCTGGTCTAATCATCTGCATCAAGAGAAAAACTCTACTGGGCCTGCTCTTCACCAGTAAAAAGAACCCAATTGAGAAGCTCAGGTGCTTTTTCAGAACATGATAATTAAATAATTTGTAAATATTATAGAAGATATATAATTTCCTTCTTTAAATTCCAGATCAGTAAACGCTGCAATCAGCGGACCATCCGCTTCTACCCAGCCTCCATCAGTGAGCACCATGTCTCCATCTCGACCAGCACCACCTCTGCCACACAGCTCTACAATCTTCAAGGTCACCAGAGCACACATCTTTGCTTGACAGGCCCACTACAAACATACAGATCATATTTGGCTCATAGGACAAGATTTTGGTTCAATATCTGACTCAAACAAATGCTTACCAGCAGATGATCCATGCAGGATTGTGGTGTTGTTTTCACCCAAATAGCAGCTCGTTCAAATCCAATTTAATTATCCCTCTCTATGTAGACATGTGGAGGAGGTATTGATAATGGAGTCTGTGGTGAGCATTGTGTTAGCAACACTTGAATACAGTTCTTGTCATTAACAGCTGCCTGTTAAGAGACCTTTTGACTTATCCCTTTTATTTTATTCTATTTTACTTATTTTATATTTATCTTAAACGTGTATTTTGGTCTATTTTTGGTCAATGTTTTCTTGCTTGTATTGTTGTTTTCTGGGTATTGTTGTCTTTGCACTTGTTGAAGCACTTTGTTTTTGAAAAGTGCTCTACAAATAAAGTTTATTATTAAGAGAGAAATTGATTTAGCTGTGAGTATCCCACATGAAGAATGTTGAGGCGGTAGCTTACTTGAGATGTAAAGTCATCCTGTCACTGATAATTGCAAGACAGAGCAGGGATTTTGCTGTAATGACTTGTGTGCCTACATCACTGTATGCCTTAACTACTCCATTAATGCCCTGACATGCTTTGTAATGGAAAGAGACTTGTGATCGATTGAGTTAGGGATGCTGAAATAAGAGGAGCTGTGTCAGAATTGACATTTGCGCTGCATGGTGGCTCTCGAGTGAGGCAAGCTGTAGTGAATTACCATGACATTGGTGTTTTTAGTTAGTAGCATGTGGTTTTCATTTGGGGTCAATGGTAAGAAGAGAAAGCATGTGAGGCTGTTTGATGTAGGCACAGTGCAGGTGAGGTCATTTTCCAGTTGTCAAGAGCCACATGAGCGCATGTGTGCATGCCTTTGTATGTGTTACATTGTGTGTTTGTGAGGTGTGCAGACCTGGCCAGGTCTACATACTAGGCATACTCATATTTTGGCTCTTTTCTGTGTCTGAGCTGTCTCAGTGGGAGTGTGTGTGGGCTCTTCAGCTGTGTCCACCTTTGAATGAGACCAAGTGAGTGCTTTCGGCACAGTCTTGGTCTTTCCCTTGGATAGGTTACCTGAAGAGGAGTTGGGGAATAGCGAGCAGGCAAATGGGAGCGTTTGATTTATACATCTTTGATATCGTCAGGAAGAACGGCGGAGGGAGAGGAGGAGGTTAACATGACTGTTTCTGATATGAAGCAGATTGACTGACTCTTCTGGTTCTCTTTCATCTTTCTGCAGCCTCCTCACCGGGGCCCAGAGGCGGTGCTCCCACCGGCCCCCTACCCCTCCCACAGCCTGCGCAGACTGCCCCAGTGCCCTCCAGTTCACCTCAGCCATCCTGTCCCTCTGACTCTGACCCTGTCTCTCTCCCCTGGCCCTGGGCAGCCAAGACCCCCGTTGCCTCCACCTCACATTCATGTGGCACAGAGGGGCGCGTCATTTCGCAGTGTGTCACGCCATAACTCCTGCAGGATGGTCATGGTGCGTGAGTTCCCTGTTCCCTCAGTTGTAAAAATTTTATTTGATGATCTTACCCACTGTAATTTGTCCCCTAGGTCTGGGGAACCTTTACTTACTAATACAACCAATTATACCTAACCAGGGAAATGATGTTGTTCACTGCACCTTCAGACGGGTGTTGTGATGTCAAACGTTTTCATGGTTCTTTTGTGTCCAATATAGTATATGCATGTTGACAGTTATGCACAGTCTCATAAAATAATGAGGTTAATCTGGGAGCTAGTGTCATCCAAGCAAGACTTCAGTTCTACAATACAAACCACCACATAAATAATGGAAATGGAGCCAGAAAAGATGAAACAGCAACTGGAGTGAGCAAGTATGTCCAAATATCACAGGGTGGTAAATTTGCTGGCACTAGTATTCCATGGAGTTTAGTTATAGCATTGCAGACTGTCGGAGCTGAGGGGAAGAGAAAGCCAGAGGTTCCTGGTGTTAAATCCCTCTCACTCAGTGATTCTCAAAGACTCTTATTTGCCTTTAATCCAGTTTGACTTGTACCCTGTGGGCAAGTGAGACAGAAGGACCCAAAGTGAGAGAGGATCAAACAGATGGAAAGACAAAGGGATAAAGAGACAGAGGGAGGCTTTAGCTAATGAGGGAAGGAGTTGATTAATCAAAGATAATCAATACATTTTCAAGTCATTTGTTTAGGAAGAAACTGCAAGTATTTGCTGGTTCCAGCCTATGAAACGTGTCGATTTGTTCCCTTTTTTCTGTTTTATATAAGTGTAAAGTGAATACCTTTTGGTTTTAGATCGTTGGTTGGACAAAACAAGAAATCTGAAGCGGTCACCTTGGCCTCTGAATTAATCAAGAAAAAAAGTGAGAGAGGGACGGCTATTGAAAATAATCATTAGTTGCAGCCCTTGCACTGCAAATAGACAAATTATTTGGAAAAAAAGAGGAAAGGATATGCGGATAAAAAATCAGCAATGAGTTCCAGCCTGAACCTAGTCCTGACTTGATTGCAATTTATGTGAGGGATCATAGTCCAGCCTTTATAAGGACACATAATGCCAAAGGGGAGATGAGGTGAAAGCGATGCCACACCACCTGGATCCAGCTATTTAGAGGTGTGTTAAACACAAAATGACATTCTAATCTTGTTAAGATTAATGGAGGGGTCACAGAGGAGGTCTGGCTTTAAAACACAATACTGTTCTGGAGCTAATAAATGTTATGACTGTGTGCAATGGAATATATCATTATTCCACAAAGAGCATTACATTACTCAATTACAATTACTCCATTTACACTGATAGATGTCTTTTCACAATGTCCTATTACTATACTTACTTATTTTTTACACTATTTATTCAGGGACAGTATGCGCTATTAAATATATCTTTTTTAACAATGTAACTCCCTTGGACATGTGGAGGCAGGTGTCATCACCAAAAGCTAATTGGAGTCATTTTTCTTCAACCGTACACTATAGTTTTCAGAGCCATTTACAGAAAGAACTCCATTCAGTTTTACAGAGGTTCTTGGTTATCATACACCTGTACAACAGGTGAAGTGCAGCAGCTCTTGGCAGTGTTTCCACTTCAGGAAGTAGATTTTCCCTCTCAGCTGTTTCTATTAAATGTCAGTGTGTAAAACTGAAAGTGATGCATGTTGGCAGCGGACATCACCGACATCTTTAGCAGCTGTTTGGCAGCTCCAAGACGTTGACAAAGCTCTTTTTTCTCCCCAGCTCTCTGCTGGAGGCATGGCAGCATAGTCTAATGGGAGACCTTCACCTGATGTAGCTGGGAGGTTTTTAGACAGACTTGGGTTTGGTTATTCCAAGGTGAAGCTGCAGTAATATTCTGTGCCTATAAATCACCTTATCAGACATGCTCTTTTCATTTGCCTGCATTCTGCTTCACTACCATTTGATATTGTTCTGATATTTTTGGATGGAACTCAAGTTGGCCCCATTGCATGACAGTATTGGCTGTCAATGTGATGAATTAGTAACAGTACTTCAATAGTTCAGATTGTCATGATACTTGAGCTTATGGATGCAAACAGAGGAAATATCCTGCATTAGAGACTTCACTGACAGCATGCAGTTGTCACTGAGATTCAGTTCAGAGGCTCCTTCAATTAGGTCAAATTTAACTCTGACAAAGGAATGATGTTTTGAATCAGCAGACACAAATCCATGAGTGAGTGAGGTCTGAGGTTCAGTTTTTCTGGCTCCTTCCTCTCTGTGATGTTTGAGGAGGCTTCTCTCCAAACAAGGAGAAGAGGTGAAGAAGTGAATGGAGACCAGATGGGGACTAGGTAACAGGTCTTTATCATGATCTCAGTCTTCTAGAGAAGATTAAAACCACATGACAATTCCTCATCACAAGTCGCGTTTGCAGGGCTGCTGTGATGCCTGGAAGAGGAGGACACGTAATTGCCTGCCTGTGAGTGCCACCTGGTGGAGATTCTCAGTTATTATGTTGACATGTCTGTTCTTTGTCAGGAGTTCGAGAAGCCCAGTCCTCCTCAGAAACCCCTTCCTGCTGATCCAAGGAGCTCTCGTCTGGTTCGAAGTCCATCTGAAGTGCAGGGCCACAATGTAGTCCAAGGGCCCTCTGCTGTTTGTAGCCCTGCACCAGTACCTGGTGTAACCAGACCAATGCGCCCTATCCCACGTCCCAACAGGTAAGTTCCAACTTTCACTAAATTTATTTCAAAACAACACTTAAGCTTGTATCGCTCACAGACATATTATTTGTATCACCTTTCTCCCTCCTCTAGACCCAGTCCCAAGCAACCCCCAACACTACCAAAGCCTTGCATAATTGCCAACGTCAAATACAGCAGCTGAGACTTTGGCCAGAAGGGACATTGTTGTGATAAGACACTAAAGAATTTGCACTATGAAAACTCTGAAAACCTTAAAAAGATGGTGGCTTCTGTGAGTTTTTAATCAGGAGATCTGCCGTGTCCCTTTGGTGCTCTGTCTCTGAATGGTGCTACGAGTCTGAGCTCAGGTACATGTAAAGTATTTATATTCTGTATTTATTGCCACGCAGTGCACTGTGCTAGACACTTTTACTACACGGTAGCAATTTAGAATTTTTAATTTGGTGTTTGCAACAGTTTCAAAATAATAGTTTTTCATAGAATCTGATTTTTAAGGAGAGTGGCAGGAGATTTAGAAAGAAAAAAGCCAATCTGTGAAATTCTGATTGCAGAAATGTTGTTATGAAATGTGTTTTGATGAAGGGAATCCTTTACATTATGGTTTTGTTCTGTATGCTACAGGAAGAATTGAAAAAGAGTATTGTGCAATGACAGATGAGAACAGAGAAAACTTCAAACAACACTTAGTATTTCATTTACAAACAAGTGAGTTTTTTGTTGAAGGGTAATGCTCTCTGTAGCAACGTTGAGCCAATCTGATAAGGCTTGAAACAACCACCAAAAAAGAAAAAGTGGTATTGCTGCAACAGTTCTGCAATGTGCTCTGCAATTGGGAAAGAGGGGCTGTTGTTTTCACAGACAGCTGAAATTCAGGTATGGTGTCTCTGCATTTATATATCAGAAAGGTAACAATTTGAATTGTGAAATGTCATTGTCGTTTCCTTTTCATTAACAAGCCCCAAGAATCTCACTTGAGGGATCTGGGTACTGATGTATGAACTGAACATGGATCTAAAATGAGCTGACACCAAGGAAGCATTCATCCCTCAGAGAGGGTAAACGTCTCTGAAATAATCCTCTGCTAAAGGTCATGTGGGTTTTTGAGTTTTTCCCCTCTGTGCCTGTCTACACCAAGGACTATGTGTGAAACTCTGTAATTAAATTATGGAATCACTAAGGACTTTCTTAAAGCTGTGGCCATACAGGCGTCATGGAGGCACTCACATGTAAACAGCCAGTGTCTGGCTATAGTGTCCATGTGTAGATTTTAAATCATGTTTTTCTGTGATGGGAAATGGCCGTTTCAGTTGACACGGACACGTCTGCCACCGAAATGAAGTTTAGTGGTTACTCAGTGTACATTGAGCCACCAGTAACTGTGGCAGTTATTCATTTTCTATTTTTGTACCTTTTTAATTTGGCTATTGAGATTTGTTTTTTTTAAAGCCAATCTACATGTCAGATACAAAATCCTGCATAAATCGGATTTGTGGTAATTGAACAGTGTTATATTGTTTTTTGTAGAATTATTGCTTTACTGGATTGCAATGCAGTGTATATACATTCACACTGAGCAACATTTGCTTTAAGCACAGCTCTTGTTCACAAATATGTAGGCTGAGAACTGACTTTAAACTTTTGTTACTTTTGATACTGTTATCTTTTTAATAACACACTAGTTTAAAATTCATTGCTTTGTTTATTTTGCTTTGTCAATGCTATGTGTCCATGTACTAATAGACAGTATTTGAGTCCAGTCACCTGACTGTATGTTATGTCCTTGTGTTACTCATATGTTGTGTTACAGGTGAACACATTTCCATGGAGAATGCTTTTAAATAATGATTGTTTGATACGTTATATGTAAAGAAAACATTTAAAGTGTCAATGTCGGGTCATTGTATTTTGAACACTCAAGCAGCAGTAGTAGTAAAACTGTTTTTCAAACACTGAAGAACATTTTTGTTATTGATCCTTGTGCTCTGTACTATATTGTTGTTTTACACAGCATGCATGTTTTCAGTAAGACTTGCATCATGTGAAAAATCAATTGTATGAGAGAAACAATTATTTCTTTGTTAAAAGCCCATTTGAATGCTAAAATAGAAAACACAGTCTTCAGGCACACAAACAATTTCACTACAGCTGTCCTGCTTTGTAAGAAGACAAAGACAGATTTCATATTGTATCACATTTTCAAACCTGAATTGCTTAGTATCTACAAAAAGTAACCTTTTTCTCAAAAGCCTCTGGCATTTGTGCAACCACAATATTGAATGCAGAACGTAGAGGTAAGTGTAATTTAACATTTTAAACATTTCACGTCTTTATTTTCAGAAGGTTCACAAGGTTTCAAATTAGTTTAACCATTTAACGCTGACATCTGAAGCAGCCTAGCTTAGTTCAACCGCCCGAGCCTTTGTCTAAAAGCAATTTGACGATGTCTTTGTAAGGGGTACAAATACTGATTCAATCAATAAATACAAGTGTAGAGTTATGTGTTCACTGTCAGGATTTGCTGGTGCTAACCTGGTGGAGTCAAGCGTGTGTGATTAAAAGGATGTTCAATAACAACAGTAGGTCAAAAGAAAACTGTTGCTAATGAGAAATCGAAGCAAGTCCACATGATAACAAGGATGCAGTGTCGAGAACCTTCTGAAAGCAGCCTCAGCCAACATCATCTAATTACAAAGTCGCAGCTCCAGACAGATTTTATTTGTCAGAAAAATGAAGGGGGTTGGGATGCAAAGGCCAAAAACTATTAACAAATTAGACATGAAGGTTGTCAAAATTCTGTGCTTGGTGCTCAGCTGCACTTGGGTTTATTGAAATCATTTACATGTATGTACAGTATGTATGTTCTTGTTTACTATTGGACAAGTAGGCTGCATTTTTACAGACAGTAGAGTTGAAAGGCTTAACAAGCTTTGTTGATATTTAGAAAGGTTCCTACGAATTCATTCAAACTAGACTAATAATGACTGAGAAACTCAAGTGTTTAGAAAAGTTCCATTAAAGCTATGCCAGGCAACTTGGAGAAACTAGCAACATTTTTAAAGTATCCAACCACTAAACTCCCTCCAATTATTTCTCCCTCCAAACCCACTCCACTAAAACGGATAGTCATGCGCAGTGAGTGCACAGGAAGAGAGCGCGCAGGTAGGTAGATCATTTTATTCAAACCAAATGATTTTTTACAGCCTTGTAATAGCCACAGATACCTGATTTGTTTCATCTTTGTGTTAGATCATGTCATGTATTGATTGCTGTTGTGTGATGTAAAGAGAATTTGAACAAATATTACAAAAATGTTTCTGAAATAAATTGCCTACCAATGATAAGTGTTTCACATCTAATAAAAAAAAGTTAAAAAATTAAAATATGTACGGCTTACTATATCATAATTATAACTTGAGATAATGATTCATAATAATAATGTAATATATAGTAATTATGAGGGGAAACGTTAGATGGTGTATTTATCTATCTTTTTTCAAGTGGCAGACATTATCTTTTATACATGCTGTATTCTGACTACTTCAAAGATTATATAGCACACAAATGAAGTACACCTATTAATTTAAACCAGACGTGAAAAGGAAGACGCTTTTTGTGGATATTTGGAATTTGACGTCATAGTTCTCGCTACTTGGCACGTGATTATTTTGGATAAGCAGGCGATTATGACAAGCTCGTGGACATTGCTCAGTGGGGAATATGCAGCCCTACAGTATGCAAATCACAACACGTGTGAAGCCACGCTGGGGAGAAATTACGCACCGGTGCGCACTACGCGTCAGTCCACTCCAAACAGAACAACTTTGAATAGCTAAGCAAATATAGTTTTCACAATTAAGACACCTAGTAGAGAGGTTGTGTTCATGTTCCGTTCAAGTACGAGAATTTATGTTATGTTGTATGCTATAGATGGCGCGAAAAGGTATCGGTGTTAAAATATTTCGCTAAAAACGAAATGGACGCTTAGCTGGAGTGGTAGGGAAACCTTTCTGTGCTCCTGGCCGGATTAACAAATATATGTGTCATGTCGGAGATAAATAATTCAGCGGAGCCTGACATTCACGCTGAAAGTGAGGAATGTCCTCCGGAAGATTCATTTGGGTTTGGAGATGATCTGGAGTTAAATCAGTTCGATGGCTTGCCCTTTTCCTCACGTTACTACAAATTACTAAAAGAGAGGAAGACTCTGCCAGTCTGGAATGTCAGGTGTGAGTTTGAAGACGCTCTGGCAAACAACCAACTGGTTATTGTGTCTGGGACAGCAAAGACTGGGAGGAGTACACAGGTAAGACTCTATGGTCAATAATATGAATATCTTTATTATGAAAGGAGTAAACAGAAAGGATGACAAAGATGGCAAGTGTCTTTCAAAAACAGTTTATTATATTAAAGAAAAGTTCACATTCAATTCTGATTTAAGTAGATGCTTCAATTGCTCTCATCTACATGGAAAGTAATTTTGGAGCTTCTCTGTGATCTTGGGGCATTAGAGTTAAAGAATACTGCATGATTTTCTCTGTTCAGGGACATTTTCACTTCCTTCAGACTAGACCCAAATACCAAAGCATAATGCAATTTGTATGAATAACATGCATACTTTTGCCACTTACTCAGTCCAGCCTATTCAGTCTATCAAATGTGAGATGTCTGCTTCCCTTGATTTGATTTTAAATGTGACATAAACCCTTTCAGTTGTGTTTTTCTGCCCAGCACTGCCTTGTTTATCTACTAAACAGCACAACTTCTCTGTTTGACACAGTTGTGGTTCCTGTGATATGTTTTATTTATTTATTTTTTTGTTTGTACTTTGACATGTAAAGAGTGCCATTATTCGAGCTTGTGTGAACAGGCTGCCCAGCTCAGCAGATGCTGTTGTGTCACTGTGGGGCTGTCCAAGCTCCAGCCTGCCTGACAGGAAAGCTTCACAAAGGCTGCAGCAGGGGTGTTAGGGGACCTCCTGCTGCTAAGCCCTGATCTGCTGGAGCCGCCTCATGCTGCCAAAGCAATTTTGCATTATGAGCGATAATACTATAGGATATCTCCTGTCACTGTTTGTTTTGCTGTGTGCTTGAACAAAAGCTGGTAGTACGATCCTAAAAGGATACTTGCTACTGAGCTTATGCAAATGCAGAATTTTTACTCTGAAGCAAAGCCAAGACATGCAATGACGTGGGAAAGTTGAACATTTAGTGATTATTCTCTTCCAGATCCCTCAGTGGTGTGCACAGTTCTGTCTGACTGCACAGTACCAGCATGGCATGGTTGTGTGCACACAGACCAACAGACAGCAGGCTGTAGATCTGGCCTTACGCGTGGCTGATGAAATGGACGTCAACATAGGCCACGAAGTGGGCTACACAATCCCTCTGGAGACCTGCTGCTCCTCCGACACTGTTTTGAGGTTTGTTGACAAGCTCTCCGTCTGTCTATTTCACAGCCAGCAGCAGCACGTTTGAATGTAATTTTAATATCATCAACAAACCATCTTTGTCACTCTTAATCCTTTCCTCTCCTGTGCTCCTCACTCACATCGTGAATGGTACACACACACGGACCCCCTGTGATTCTGCTTCAGCGTAAATGAAGAACTTAAGAGAGTCATAGGAGATGCTGCTCATCACAATAAATCAAAGACGTCTTTGTGACAGAACAATGTCATTCAGTTATTGGCCAAAATGCCAAACATTCACTGGTTCCATCTTCTCAAATGTGAGGATTTGAGAGTCTTTTCTGTATTTAATATCATCATTTTTGAGAAAAGTAGCTATTATCCTGAAGTTGCCATTTTCACCGCGTCCACTATTAACCCCTCTGGTGGCTTTTATCACTCAGGTACTGCACTGATGACATGCTGCTGAGAGAGATGATGTCAGACCCTTTTCTGGAGCACTACGGGGTCATTATCATTGATCAGGCCCACGAGAGGACAGTTAGCACAGACATACTGCTGGGTCTCCTCAAGGACATCCTGCTGCAGAGGCATGAGCTTAGAGTAGTGGTCCTCACCATCCCACCCATGACCGACAAGCTGCTGAGCCACTACGGCAGCATCCCGCTCATCAGTCTGGAGGTCTCGTGTCCTGCTGAGGTGGTGCACAGCAACAGCGGCAACAAAGACTCCTTCTATTCAGCACTGAGACTGGTGCTGGAGATCCATCGAACCAAAGAGGAGGGAGATGTTGTAGTGTTTTTTGCCTCGGCTGAGGTAAGAGATTTTTTTTTTTTACGAGTGGTTTCATGGGAGCAAAGCTGAGACTGCTTTAACACACTTCTCTCTACTTTGCTTGCAATCTCTTCTGCAGGACGTTCATTGTGCCTACAGCATTCTCCGGAGAGAGGGCACCAGGCTGGGTGCGGAGCTGGGCCAGATGGTTTCTGTGGTCCTGTGCCCAGGCAAGGGAGGGTTACTGCCTGTCCTGACTGAGCAACCAGACTCCAAGAGGTCCAGGAGGGTTTTCCTCTCTACCCAACAGGGGGAGGATATGTGGTGGCCTACAGAGTCTGTCAACTTTGTCATTGACACAGGAGTCCAGAAAAAGATGGTACGTTATTTCCAACCAAACATATTTACCTGCAATGAGTAATATGCTGATATTAACTCTGTACTCTGGACTGTGTAGGTGTACAATCCAAGAATAAGAGCTAACTCGGAGGTACTTCAACCTGTCAGTCAATGTCAGGCAGACCTACGCAAGCAGCTGTCTGGACCAACCGGTATGTCTGACAATCTGCTTGCTAGATGACACTTAAACAAGTTTAAAAGGATAAAAAAGGTTTCTTTCTGATGATGTCAAACTCAGACATGGTAAAACATCCTGGAATCTTTACTATAATAATGCTGGAAGAACAACATCAGAGTTAATGATGAGTTAGTGAATCTAGTTCAATGTATTTCCCAGGTAAATGTTTCTGCCTGTATCCAGAAGATACCCAGCTTCCTGTAGAGAAATCCCCACAGATCTTGGAGTCCAACATCACACCAACAGTCCTTTTCCTGAAAAGGATGGAGATAGCCGGCCTTGCACAGTGCGATTTCATCGACAGACCAGGTTAGCCGGCACAACATCACCACTGAAACATGATTCATGATAACAAACATTTTTATTATCAGGTTACTGGTTCCCACAGACAGCATCTCTCTTCCACCCTAAAACACAGCCACAGTGGTGTATGTGGGAAGGCTTTTTTGGGCAGTGGAATTACAGATGAGAAGTACAGATTGCTCTGTATAGCTGTTTGGGCCCAGTCAGCCATGATTTAGCTGAGCTGACAGGGCCCTGCTACTAACTATTGTCTGAGCTCTGACCCACCCTAACATGAACAGAACAGGCTAAAAGAGGCCAGCTCATTAACGATTACACAAGATGTCTCGTTAGGGCAGTACAAGTACAATGAAGGGGAAGTAGAGGCAAAATATACTGTAATATCTCTACATTTTTGCCAAATTTGTCGTGGAAGTTACTCACCCTTATATACATACATCATTATGGGTGATTGTGATGGTATAAGTTGGTGTTTGTATAAGAGAAGAGAATCCTTGTGAGAAATGGTACATTCTATCTGATATTTTCAGCAAATTCATCTCATCTTATAGTGTCTTTTTTAGAAAGTACCACTTGTGGGGCAATGGGGCCTCCTGGTGGGAATTCCCAACATATTAAAATAAAATGCCCCTCCCCAAAAAAAGATGCACAAATGTTGTGACACTACTATTTGCAGTTCTTTTTGAATTATGGAATTTACATGTCAAACTAACGCTGTTTGCTGGTCTGGTTATAGATCCCGAGGGTCTCATGCAGGCATTGGAGGAGCTGGATTACCTCGCAGCTTTAGATGATGATGGCAACTTGTCTGAGATTGGCATTATAATGTCTGAAATCCCTCTGGACCCTCAGACGGCCAAAGCGCTGGTTGCATCCTGCGAGTTTGACTGTGTGAGTGAGATGCTGACGATCGCAGCAATGCTGTCAGGTTCGTGTGTGTAACTTTAGTTTGATTTGTTACAAGAGTGAAGAACCTGCTTGACTGGTTCATAAATTAATTGTTGTAGTAGTTTTTTTTGCAGATGTACAAAGCTGTAGTTTCTCTCACTGAACCAGGTGATCTTTGGTAAGTGGCCTGTCTCAGTGATGCTGACCTCATTGTTTCCTTGTCTTTTAGCGCCATGTTGCTTCCTGGAGCCACCTGCTGGCATGACCCACGAGGCAGTCCAGTGTCTAAGAAAGTTCCAGCACCCTGAAGGCGATCACTTCACCCTCATAAACATCTACAATGCCTTCAAACAAAGCCAGAAAGACCAATGTAAGACACAGTTAGTGGACAGAGCCAATTTACAGTAAAATAAGACATTTTTAGACATGCTGCAATAATGGGTCATACCCGGGTGCATCCTTACAGCAGTGTTTCTGAATATGTTCTTCACTGAGGCAAAGCAGCAAAACAATTTAAACATTTTGTAACATATAACCTAGTGTCATCATACCAATTCATACACTGAGGCACTTTTAAAGTCTTTTTAAATGTCTTTTTATAAGGAAGTAAAAACAGAAGATTCAAAACCAAAATTACATGAGATTATTTTAAAAATTAAAGAGACCATGTCAAAAATGCTTCACATTAAATAAAGCATTACAATAAATTTTAAATGAAAGATGTATGAATACATAAATCCTGAGAAAATAATAAAGCGATTTTGAAAAAAACATTAGGTGGAAAACCATGTACATTCAATTACAACATGTACATTTGTAATTGGGGATTAAAAATGAAAGTAACAAAGAAGGTGGTTTAATTGTAGTAGACACTCTTGGACCTCATCCAAGCTGAACGTTTTAATTAATGCTGTGACCCAATTTCTGAGTTTCAATGCATGACTGAGTTTGTCCAAAATTCTTCTTCACTCTATGTTTCAGACTTCAGTGCTGAAAAGTGGTCCCAGGACTATTTCCTGGATCATTCCGCCCTGAAGGCAGCTGAGGTCATTAGATCAGAGTTGACTGAGACTCTGAACAGGATCGAGCTTCCCATCTCCGAGCCCTCCTTTGGAACCAAGACCAACACCCACAACATTAAAAGAGCTCTGTTGGCTGGGTTCTTCATGCAGGTATAATGGAAGCAAGAAATGTCAGTATTAATGAATTTGCCTCCAGCAATTCAATTGTATTTAAGTTCACAGAGTTCCTCTTCATAGATTGCTCGAGATGTTGACGGATCAGGAAACTACTTCATTCTGACACACAAGCACATGGCCCAGGTGCACCCGCTGTCCGGCTACGGTGCTCAGTCACACAAGCTGGGGCTGCCAGAGTGGGTTGTTTTCCACGAGTACACCCTTTCAAAGAACAACTGCATGAGAACAGTCTCTGAAATTTCCCCTGAAGTGTAAGTTAATCCCTTTTTGAGCTCACTATCAGGTGTGTCATGATTTCAACCACCTGAGTCCACCTGGCTTATGTTTTTATGCACCGAACTGGTGAGACAAGTTTTGATTGTTTTTGTTATTACTGTAAAAATGTAGCCATTCGGTCACATTTTAATTTAAATATTTTTAATCCTCTTATATTCTCCACATTAGATTTTTTTAAATATATGAAAAAATAAGCATTAACCATATTCTTACCTGTTTTTCATCTTTTACAAATAATGCCATTTCTATTTTGTCATTTTAGGTACATTCAAATGGCACCACTGTACTTTTTCTACAATCTGCCACCTAGTGAAAGCAAAGACATACTGCAAGACATGTTGGACCCAGATGGATCCAGAAAATGTAAAGACGAGAAACAAAAAGCCATCGCAATCAGCAGCAACGCCAACAGTAGTGCTGCAGCGGTGCCACAGTCTTACGACAGATGTGTGATTCAATGATGCAAAATCATAAATATCAAAATCTAGGCTATCACCAAATGCATTTATGCTTGCATAACGTTTAGTCAAAGCAAATCAGGGGCTGTAATAACATTCAGTTGCTTAAAAGTTTTTTCCGATACTGACATGTGCATGAGAAAGAATGTTTACTCCATCATTATCACATTTTCAGAAGGTGAAGGTGCTGTCTAATGAATTGAAATGCTGCAAAATGTAGTAAATCATGAACACCTTTTTATTAGTTGTGGTCAAATACAACAGTTGTGCCAGCATGTTTTTTTTCTTAAGTGCTTGCATCTGAATAAGTTTTCGTGTTTCTCACCTTTCCCCCCCGCTCTGCTCTCCCCTTCAACACTGTCTGGAAATGCGAATATCCTGACGGTTGTTTAGATTGTTAGACTTTAATGAGCTGCAGATGGTGTTGTCAGTTGGGGGGGGGGGGGGGACATCCCATCACACCTCTAGTACGCATAACAGACAGTGTGCATGTACAAGCTGCAATAGTAGTAATTTGTCATCTACTTTCCCTTTCTTATGCAAAGCTGTCCTTCTTCAGAGGTGTTGGTATAGCTTTCTCTTCAGGTTAACATGGTTTGGAAGGTTTTGAGACTGAAACATAATATTCTGCCAGCTTAAGAATGAAACATAATATTCTGCCAGCTTAAGAAAGCAAACAATTGTCAAGGCATGCAGATGGATACAACACATTTATTAATGATTAACAAGGATTATCCTGTTTACACAAATGTCTACAGTATGTTCGAATTCATGTCAATAATCCAGATGAAAATGTAATTTCTACCAAGTTATGTTTAAAAAGTTCTGGATCTATCAATTTTAAAAGCATTAATGTAATTTTACTTGATGGCAAATGACCCCCCTGCCCCCCGCCCGCTGAGACTGGGCTAGCGCACGTATCAGCTGTTGTCATGAACACAAACAACTTATACAATTGTGTCTTGGTTCATAATCTTGTCATGAACAAAAGCCATTTTTATTAAAACATGACTTAGTGCTGAGTTTTTCATTTTCACAGGATATAACCGTTGTATATTTCTACAGGGTATGTGGTAATTTTCTTCTGCATCTTAAAAGTGAACCAGAATTTGTAAAATCTGCTCTAAAATTGCTGAAAAAAAAAAAAGAATCACTGTGCAACATGTACTATGTGGTTTACAACACTGGCATAACTGTTGCTGACAGTACCAAAACATATATTAAACCAGCCTGAAGGCCTTGAATGTGTGCGTAGATTCCCGTTTATTGTGAGGTTCACACAGTTAGGTATTCTTTGAGTTTGTCCATAATTGCAGACATTCTGTCTGTTGGTATCAGCATCACTGTCCGGAAGGGTTTCATGGGTATGTCGTCGAACGACCACCTGCCACTCAAGCAGGAGTCTGCCTCTTCCTGGACCGAGTAGTGGAACTTTATGATGGCTTGCTGTAAGGAGAATACAGACAATGCTTAAATCTACAGGAATATTTAGACATGAATACACATTTTTTGTGCTCCTTTCTTCTTTGGAAGTATAAATATATTAAAGAATAAGAGGGTAAAACACACACAGATTTAGCTCATCGGATAGTAAATTATCATCCAAATCTTGTATATAAAGTGCCCCTTGTATTTTATCAGACATTTAGTTAATCTTAGACTCTGCTTGCATTTACTTAATTTTACCTCATAGAAGAATTCCTCCTCTGCATTGACAAACATGTATTCCTCTTTGGGAGCTCCTCTGGCTGGAATACTCTTGCTTGCTTCTTTGCAGGTCTTGCTGATCATCAGGCAATAGTGACACCTCCCACTTGGCTTATTCGTCATCTGAGCTTCAGCTATTTCTTCCCTGAAGGACAGAATTACACAGTTTACTTTTCTGCACAAATCTTTATGAAAAGCCCTTAACATAGCTGCAGCATACCTGTCTACCCTGTACCCTGTGCTGTGGGGTTGGTGACGACCTGGGGTGGGCTGGGGGGGGGGAGGTCGGGGCTCCCCTGGCGTGGGGGCCCGCCCTTGACCTAGGGTTCTGGGGACTCGGGCTTATGGCCTTTGCTCATTTCTGGGCGGGTGGTGTGTCCCTGGGCCTGGGGGCCCGTTGTCTCCTCTCCTCGCCTGGGCCCTCTTCGGCAGAGGTGAGGCTCCCGCTGCTTCCCCCTGCCAGCTCTCTCACGGTGGGGGCATTCGGGAGTCTCTGGGGCGCATGGCCGGTGTAGGTTTTGGTGCTCCTCCTTGGGGGTGCTTGACTCGGGGTGCTGGGCCCCTGTCCGGGGATGAGATCGGCCTCGGGGGCTGCTGTCACTGCCTGCACTGTAGGGAGGGATGCCTCTGGCTGGGCTGGGGGACCGTTGGCCTGGTTCTCCCGCGTTATCGCTCCCTGGCGGCAGGGAGCTTCCCGGCACGGCTTTCTGCTGTTCTTCCTTGGGGCAGGGTACAGCTTCCCCCGGGACATGCGGTCTGGGGTCCTTTGCGCTTTGGGGGTCGCAGGGTGTCCTGGCTTCTGGGGGTGGGGGTCTCTGCGCGGGTTGATCCGATTGCGGTTTGGTGGGCTGCGGTGGGATTGTGGGGCGATTGTCGATGCATCTTGATGCATTATGCTTTTTCCCTGGGCAGGGTCTCTGGATGGCTGCTGGGCATTTAATTTGTGCATTGGAGTCCGGGGGAGGCATTTCCTCGTTGGCTTAGAGGGACCTGTTTGCGTCCCTGTTTTGCTTCGTTGGCCTCGGATCCGTGCTTCCCCATTTCTCTGTCGGCCAGTTGTTGGACCCCTCTGGATACTGAGGTATATAGTTAGTTTTCGGGATGTGCAGTGTGGGTGCGGGGCAGGGCTGTGCTCCAGTTTCTTCTGGGTTTGTGCCTGGAGTTCTCAGCCCTTGACGGGTGGGTGGGTTGTTGGTGGCATGCAGCTGAGCTGGTTGATTTTGCCTCATTGCTGGTTTGGCTGGTGTTGCACGGCGGCCGGGGGGCGTGCTGGGCATGGGGAATGTCGGCTGGCGCCGGCGGCCTTAGTTTTTTCCAGCGGTTGGTGGGACGGCGGACTTTTATTGGCGGGTGCACGGTGACCTTTGCTGCCGGGCTGGGACTTGCTGCTGGTGTTTCTTTCCGCTGGCTTTCGCTGTCGTGTTGTTCCGTTTGCTCTCTCTCATTTGCCCAACCTCGCACGCGGGATTTGCGGGGGGCTGCTGGGCATTGGGTGTCGCCGTGCTCGCGCAGTGTGCGCGTTGGGCTCGTCACTTGTGCATTGGTGTTGATGATTGCGTGGCATTTGGGCATTTTGGTTGTTCGCTGCGCGGCGGTGGGATGCTGGGCGGGGGGGGGGGCACTGGTCTATGTTGTGTGCGCGCCGCGGTCGGTCCGGGCGCTGCTCTTCCGGTTACACTTTTGCGTTCCGTCGGCATTACGTTGTCAACTGGCATTTGGGTCGGGGTCTTCTGCGTTTGCATCGCGGTGCATCTGGGAGTCTGTTTTTTTTGATTGATTTATTCTTTTTCTTTCTCCCATCCCTATTGGCTACTGGGGTTCTTGCCTGCCTGTTGCTGGGGTAGGTGTGGCACAGTCGTGGCGCCCCACTCTCACTAACAACTACATTCTTTAACAGGCTTATGCGCACACACACATGTACACACGCACACAGACATATCCACCCACACGCACACAGACACAAACAAATTTAGGTTGTCCCTGGTAGAATTATTCCTGATGCTTTTCTTTCAGTTACTTATTTAAATTAATTATTATTCCAGCTCTCGTGGCTGTGCTGTGTTGCTCATTTAGTGTGTGTGACTGTTTCTTGTTTTCATTTTTCTCTTAGTTGTCTTACTATGTCAGCTGTTTATTGCTGCTGTTCGGCTGGTCGTCTTTTACTATTATTATTATTTTTATTGTTGTTTTTGTTTGTTGTTGTTTTTGTTTGTTGTTGTTTTTTTTCCTCCTCCCCAAGCCACCCTCTCTGTTCTATTGCAGGTTTCGTTGCTTTCTGCAATTGGTGTTTTCCACAGCTTTTCCCTGTTGTCCCCACCTTCCGTCCCCACCTTCCACCCCCCTTCTCTTACAGGTGTTGTCCTTTCTCTGTGCTGTCTGTTTGTGCCCCCCCCCCCCCCATCCCCGTGTCTGCCCCCCCCCCCCTCCCCGTGTCTGCCCCCCCCCCCCATCCCCGTGTCTGCCCCCCTGTCCGGCCCGGTGACAAATCAATACATAATTAAATAAATAATAAAACAGACAAAGGAGTATTTTAATACTCTCTTGTTAAAGTAAAATCTGTCTGGCACAATATGGTCTCCAGGTCATTATACTCTATACCAGGCTGCTGGGCAGGACAGGTTAAAAAAATAAATAAATAAAATAAAAATAAAAAATTTTTTTAAAACCACTGGGTTTATTTGATATGTTTGCTACATTCCCCTCTGATAAAGCAGGTGGCAGTATGTAGAACATTCGCTGTAACATCTAAGGGGAAATAATTCACCAAGTCACCTGCAGCTCACCTTAGACTATGAAGTCGCCGAAAGTCAGCCGCCGTCATCTCGAACGCACCTATTGCTGCACTGATATTTTAAAGCAAGTGGTTGCCTAGTGGTGATTTTAGGAATCACTTTGTGAACCCTGTCTAAATCTAAGAGTTATGTGGACTGTATTTGGGGAACGGCCAGCACGCAGGGTGGCCGCTGAACATTACCCTTATTTTCAAATTCCAATGTTGACAGGTATGACTTGTAGCTGTTTTTAACAGTGACAACATGATTGAGAGTAGATTACTCCCTGAAAGGAAATACTGAGGAGAACATAAGGAGACTGAGTGGAACTCACTGGAGCTGTTTGTGCAGTGGGAGGGCGATCTGTGGAGGCACGTTGATGAAGCGCTCACTGAGCAGTAATCCTACAGGCTTGCTGGTGTCACTGAGGATCTGCTCTAGCTGTTCCGTCACGCTCTGGGTGGAGTTCTTCTCACACTGATTCACGATAAGCTCCTTCACCTCCTCCACACACTGCAAATCCTATCAACAGCATCAGACACACACAATGACATTTTATTTGAACCAGCATCACATGCGTTCATTTCCTACATTATCAGAGCCCAGTAAGTCTCTAAGGTAAGGTTGGTGTGCATGAGCGGTGTTACCTTTCTCTCTGTGAGGTTGAGCATAGTGATGAAGCCAAACACTTCATCTGGGTCGTCATCATCGCTGTCTTCTGGCACCTCCGCTTGCTGGAGCAAAGTGAAGAGACAAGAGATGTGGATACATGTTAGAGCTGAAACTGCTGTTAAAGTCACCTGTAACATTAGTGATGGCAAGTTAGACTCTTTTGAGAGACTCGTTCATTCAAATCTCGTTCATTAAAATGACCTGATCTTTTTTTGAGTCATTTCGTTCATTTGAACTAGGCTATTGCAGCGCTGCAGCCCTCTAGTGGGCGATTAAAAAACAAAAACACAACACCGCCTGGCTTGTTTTATATGACAAAGTATAATGCACAAATTCACCTCTTGATTACTGTATATCATCATTATATAAACCCCCCTGAGCCCACAACCAAATTCAAACCATGTAAAAAACACAAATGTGTTGTCAATATGTAATCACCACTACTCCGGCTATATCCTTCCATTTTCACAATCTTTCCAGAGTATACAACCAGACCAATTTTTAAAATTCAACCAATTTAATAATAATCTGGATCAAGCCACCAAGTTCTTAAAGAACTCCAGCACAGAGAGAGGAACAAAGAAATAAACATATTATATAAACCAACAGTTTGGCAGTTCTGGACGCAGAATGGGCCACATCAGGTCCGGATTCTGCAGACAGAAACACACATGAGCGCATCGCTCTCAAACACTGCAGGTTGTTTACCAGTCACGAGCTGTGAAACAACAGCACAGCTCTGTTGAGAAAGAAAAGGTTACATTGCGTTCTCTGGTGGACCTGGATCAGCTGTTAGCTGTTTACAGGGCTAACGCTAACGTTGTTACCTGGCTGTGTTTCAAGTTTTAATGGCCGGGTCCGTTTGTTTTGGATAGGAGACGAACTGAGGTAATTCGGCTTCAGGTAGAACTCTGGAGTGGACCCAGAACAACTCTCATCAGCTGTTGGCTGTAAACACTAGCAGGACTAAAGTTACGGTGCGGCTGTGTTAAAACTATAACTTAACACAACATAACTGCGCTGTAATAACATTATTTTTTATTAAATGTCACAAAATAGATATTAGATATAATGTCAGTCCAGTGACTGTTACCTGACAGCCGACCTGCCTCTCATTCTCAGGTGCTGGCAGCACTCGAGTGAACGAAAGACTGAGTAAGACCCATGTGAGCGGTGAACGAGTCCTTCATTCCTGCTCCACAGTAGCTGTCACGTGACAAATGAACGACTCAAACAGACCCACAGTTGAGAGTCGTGAACTAATCAATTCTGTTTCTTGTGCTGACGGAGCCCAAGCAGCTGCCGTGTGACGAGTGAATGTAAGAGTCCAAGATCCTTCACGCATGCGTGAATATGAACGAATTACTCACTGAGACAACCCGTTCATCCCGAGTCATATACACGATTAGGTCTTATGAACGAAACGTTCTTTGAACGACACAACACTATGTAACATGCGAGATGAGATTAAACTGCTGAGTAGCTCACCTTGATGACACTTCCAATGTGATTCTGTTGAATGATGATGTCCGCCATTTCTGATGTATTTACATGAGCCTTCAGGAAGACCTATATCCAAACATAACAGAAGTGACATCAGTGAGACCATGTTATATTAACGTTACATAGGAGCGTGATAATTTCGATGTAACACAAATACTGTCCCGAACCTGTTGTAAGAGTTTCTTGACGCCATTGAAGTCGTTGGCTGAAATGGTGTGGGCTTCAAAGTCCACAATGACCTCCTGAATGTGAAACAACAACAAAAGAGGGAGAGCCATTCATACAACAACAACAACAGGAAACTGCTTTCCTGTCTTTGAGGAAATTATTTAATTACATGTGCTTTTGTTACTTTGATTCATGTACTTTTTGAGTGAATGAGTACGTTTTGTTTCACTGAAGTAACGTTAGAGTTTTGACGTGTAACGTTACTGTAAAATGCTTCCAGTTCCGTTATTAGAGTAACAGTTAGACTAAAGTTACAGTAACTTCACCGACGTTACTAACATTACTTACATAGGACATTTATCTAGTTTAGCAACTTGGCTGATAGCAACAGTAACGTTAAACAATTGCGTGGCTTCCTGTTGCCATTTGCCGACAGCTGCGTTAGCTACCTAACTAACTTAACGTTAGCTGGCTAGCATCGCCAAGCACATCATTCACATTCAAATAACTGTTTGTTCTTTTACCTCATTGATCTCCTCATCTGATGCCTCGCTGTCCTCCTCTCCGGAATCATCCTCCTCCTCTGGATTCTCATCGGAGCTGTTGCCGCTTTCCTCAGGATTTTCACCCAAACCCACTGCTCTCCTCTTAGCAGAAGAAGCCATGCTGCAAACAGGCAACACACGTGTCAATCGAGTGGGCGGAGAAAAGCTCAAAGTTCATCGACAGACTAATGTAGGAAACTGAAGCTCTGGAGCCGCCATTTTGGCTCCACATGTACACGACTTGCCGCTTGCTGGAACAACATTCGGAGCCGCAATGTTGGCCTGTCGCCTGTTGGAATGGGGGGATGGAATGGAATAAACCATTGTAGAAAAGGGGATAACAGTTATTTAAACTGTGCCTAAACTACTATCTTACTATTATAAATAGGTACTTGCATTATATGGTCTAATTATAAAGGCTAAATAATATGAAATAAATACTAGTTTTTCACCTACCCACCTTATTTCGGGAAGTTAGTTGAATATTCAATGTTATGTTTCCCCTTCTTGATGTGGCTGGCTGAAGTCGTCATCCACTCAGCGGTGGGGATAACTCAAGGTACTTGGATTTTGTGCAATATTTTGTCTATTTTAAAGGAATTCATAATCATTGTACCATACAAGCGATATCAATTAGTCGCTTATTATCACTAGGCATTACGGACAGGTTCTGTAAAGGTGACGGTTATTGTTGCTAAACTGTCATTCAGTGTGTCTTGCTAATGTAAACAATATCACATAGGAATACACATTAACCAAGTCTTAGCTACATACTACGATACATCCAACCAGAAAGTGTGGCGTTATTGCTTTTTGTTTGCACCTCATATACAGTCCAATAATCGTGACTCAACGGTATTGTTATCAGCAGATTACATATGACAGTTTTAGGGCGTAGCTTAGCTTGCTGTGCCTTCACATCCCCTGTCCTCAATGTTTTTGCAGTTTTGAGTTTCTGACTTTGGCTGCGTTTTTGACAGTAGGATTCATATTCCACTCTGGTTTGTTCTGTTGTATTATTCCCTATTTATCTTATTGATCCAGTGTTTTAAGGCCTTTGTCAAGATGCATGTACTGCTTCTCAAAGAGCCAAGAGATGGAGAATCTGGACCTGATCCTTACATTAAGGTAAATGCACATTCCCTAAATCCACTTGCTTTCAACAGTACTTTGTTCATATGTGTATTCTCTTCAGTTGTCAGCACAGCACTCTTCATTTAATGATTTGCATTTCATTGCACATTTTGAAAGGAATTTAATATTTTAATTCCACAGGAGCTGGCATCACATGGACATAAAGGAACCCTTATTCCTGTGCTGTCTTTTAAGTTCATCTCATTAAACACCTTGTCAGATAAGGTAAACGCCATTGTTTGTATTGAATTAGTATTTGTTTCATTCATGTATTTTCATGTGTATTGCTTTATGAGTAATGTGTCTGTTGTTTAAGATGTCTTCCTATTACAGCTTTTCCAACCTGAAAAACATGGAGGCCTTATATTTACCAGTCCAAGAGCAGTGGAGGCTGTGAAGATATGCTTAGAAGCAGAAGAAAGGATGGAAGGTGAGAGGAAATTGCATTTCATTTGATATAATGACCGTAATCCTCTAAAAGCATTTGTTTGGTTAAATGTATTTCAATTATGTGTGTACTGTGGACTGCTAACTGAGATTAGAAACAATTTCCATGATTAAATGTTATCCTTTTCCTAATTATTAATTCAGAATGGAACAGCTCTGTTAAAGATAAATGGAACACCAAGTCCATCTATGTGGTTGGAAAGGCAACTGCTGCATTAGGTGAGTTATTGTCACATATGAAAACACTTCTCTCTTAAAGTAATTGTTCTAAAACAGAATCCATCTTTGCACATTGTGCTTTTTGAAACCCTTGCTTTGTTAATACTAACTCTAGCAGAGTGTGTCAGGCACCTGGTGCTGACAGAAGTGTGTGAATTGATGTTACTACCCTCAGTCATTTGGAAATAGGTTGACAGTTTGCTGTGACACACAGCAGTTATTTGCTCTCTAGAAAACGAGCAGGTGCAGCACCTTCCTGGAGTGTGCTTTACCTTGTTTCTTTAGAGAACGTTAATCTTTTTGTCGTTAGTTTTTTATGAGTTGTGTGTTTAGTAATTGAATTGGTTGATTTTGTGAAATTATGATAAAGCATTTGTTTAACTTGTTGTTTCCTGCACAGTACAAAATTTGGGTCTGAAACCATTGGGCGAGGACACAGGGACAGCAGAGGTCCTATCACGTGTGATCATTGAACGTACGATATATTTTTAAGCTTCCGCATTCTTCACAGTTAATTTAATAGAAAATGTATAATTGTGTCTGATGACGAATATGACCTTATACCTAATTCTCATCATAGGAGAAGACACAAATATTCCACCACTTTTTTTCCCCTGTGGCTCAATCAAAAGGGAAGTCTTGCCGACGGCTTTAAGGGACAACGGTAAGCATTTTCCCCTGTTGTGCTTCACGATTAAAACTGAAGATGATAAAAGTCCCACTGGTGTTACACCAATTATAAAATAATAATTGCTCTTCCTTTATCACTTCAGGGATGTGTTTTTTTGCTTCCAGGAGTGCCCCTGGAGACGCTGACTGTCTATCAAACAGCTGAACATCCAGATCTGGAGAAAAATCTAAAGAACTATTTCACAGAGCAGGTGAAGCCCCACTGCTACTGCATTGTAGAGAGTACTTAAAAATGTATAACTGCTTAATTTATCTGCATTTATAGGGCACTCCAGCCAGCATAGCTTTCTTCAGTCCGTCAGGAGTGAAGTTTTGCCTAGAAGTGGTGCGGAGGCTGTCAGGTGAACAGCTGACTCAAATAAAGGTACAGCCTTCTCACAGTCAAACTCATAAAATAATGCATGAATCTGCACTTAGCAGATCTTCAGTGCCTCTGACAGCCACTTATTTGTTTCCAGTTTGCAACCATAGGGCCTACTACACAAGACGCTATGACTGCCGAAGGCCTGTGTGTCAGCTGTACTGCAGAAAAGCCAACACCTGAACACCTGGCAGCAGCGATAGCCAAAGCTCTACAATAACCACCCACAGGCTCTTGAATCCATCCACTTTATCTTCTCTATGTATATTCTGTATTATTCATGTGTATTGTCATTTGTCTGTGTTACTTTACTGCCCATCTTTCCAGTTTTATATGTATATCAGCTGTTTTTTTGTGCCATAAAAGCCTTAAAAATGGAAACGAATGTAATTATAATTCTATTTGTGTTAAGCTTGCTCAGGAAGGTAAACGTTTATTTTTGAAAATAAACTTTGGTCAATGTGATAAAACAAATGTGTGTGTGTCCTATTCAAAACAGGTGTTGGCAGAAGTCATGGCTGTCTTAAACTGTTATTGTCCACATGAAAGTGGAGGTTTTAACTTGTTTCCACAGGTTGACAACAGTCCATTTAAAACCAATGGAGCATGTATAACACATCTATGCAATTTAGTCAAATTGAGCAGTTGGAGACAGTAAAGACGGTTTTACTATTCACACAAAGTTGAAGAAAGTGGGATACATCTAAGGAGTCGCACCTTTAGATGGGAGTGGAGACACTCAGGATCTGCCTATAAAGCACTGTGCACTGCTTCTTACTTGCCATAAGATCACTTTTGTAAAGTCACGAGTAAATCAACGCCACGATGCTGACTTCTATCCAGCTGATATATCTGCTTTTTTGGACGAGCATTAGCTCAGCTGATGCTGAGAAACTTTTCCATAATCGGGATCATTCTGATGTGCAGACCCCTACTTCTCACCAAGCTGGTGTTATAACAGACAAGTACACAGCAGAGGTAAATTCAATTTTCCAGTTGCTGTTTGTTTTTAAACTTCAAACATCTCTTAGATTAGATATTGATTATAGGAACGATATAATGTAACCCATGTCCTGTTATAGTTATTTCTCTCTAGATATGGATTCATTAAGCCAGTGAACTGGGAGGAGATCCAGTTTGAAGATTCAGACACCTCTTTTAATGATGACTTCATGGATGACCTTCAAGACACGATCCAGGAGGGAACTTCAGTGCATCATTCAAGGGATGCTCCTTGGGATGGTGATCAAGATGATCACAACAGTCTTACTGGGAGGCGAGCATTTGTTTCAGCACTTGAAGAGTTTCAAAGGGTATCGGGCTTGCCTGTCACAGGTGTTTTTGATGAGGCCACCAAGATAGCAATGAACAAACCGCGATGTGGAGTCCCTGACAAGGAGATTGACCTGAACATCCCTGTAGCACCTGAGAACAGTAGTGTCTCTGAAACTGAAAACAGTTCCAGTAATACTTTTAATAAGACTGGCAGTAACAACACAGCAATTAATATAATCGGTGACACTTCTTCTGTTAGTCCTTCTAACTCCTTTGAAGATGAGAAATTAAGTTTTAATGACACAGAAAGTGTCCTCACAGGCATTTCCTTATTTGATCATATAATAAATAACACTTCTTTAAACAGCTCATATGATGTCCACATGGACAGTCAAATGGTAAATATCAACTTAAACATACATCAGAGTGAAGCAGTGCGGCGCAGGAAACGTCACCTTGCCACTCTTGTATCCAAAAACAGGCACAGGAGAGATTTGAGTGAAACTGGTTACATGGCCTTTTCTAAGAGGGTGCTGAAATGGAGGCTCATAGGAGAAGGCTACAGCAGTCAGTTGTCTATTGAAGACCAGAGGTACATCTTCAGAATGGCATTCAGGATGTGGAGTGAGGTGTGTCCGCTGGAGTTTGTGGAGGATACGCATTCCCCACTGGAGGATGTGGATATCAAGCTGGGATTTGGCACAGGTAGGTCTGGACCAGTTTCTATTTTATTTTTTACTACTAATCTTTGTTTCAAAATAACATAACTTCTCTGTTAAGGTTAATAAGTTGTTTCAATTTGCAAAAAATAAATGATGACAGCCTCGTAGCACACAGTGTATTTTTAGTAAAGGTCCATAGCGCACTTGCTGAAGTACAGTACAGAGGTTTTTTACTCACTTGCTTTGTCAGACATTCACAGAAAATACACAATTAACATTTTAAAATTCTTGCTCCCCCGAAGTGTGTCAGTAAAATGATCAAATTAAATAATTTAATTCAATTACAGACTACGTCAATAGCTTTAATGTTACCAATCAACATATTTATCAGTTTATCAGTGTTTCATAGATAAGGAATAGGTTTTGTAAAATAATACTTTGTATGTCTTTACTGCACAACAGCTGGATGATTAACATTTTTCACTATACTGTCCCCTTGTGTGAAGTAACACATTGCACTGTGTGTAGATAATGTTTTGTTCAAATTCACAGTGCATCTTCTTTTATTATTTTATTCTGTGCATCTATATTCCACACAGGAAGGCATCTGGGTTGCAATCAGAGGTTTGATGGCACTGGTCAAGAATTTGCCCACGCCTGGTTCCTGGGTGACATACACTTTGATGACGACGAACATTTCACTGGTCCCAATGCTGGCAGTGGGATCAGCCTCCTAAAAGTAAGTATCAGATGTTATTATTGAAAAAGAATAATTAGAGGTTTAGTTACAGCGATTTCAATTTAACAACATTTTTACATTTCTTTCCATAAGGTGGCAGTTCATGAGATCGGCCATGTTTTGGGACTCCCCCACATCTACAGATCTGGCTCCATAATGCAGCCCAGCTATTTGCCCACAGAGTCAGGCTTTGAGATGGACTGGATGGACAGGAAAGCCATTCAGCACCTCTATGGTACATGTTAACAACACCATCTGCTGGACATATATATAGATACACACACACACAGCCAGAGGAATAGATTTATTAAAATAATTACAGTAAAAGCCTAACACAAAACTATTCATTATACATGTCTATAATGTTGTTGTGTTTGAACACAGGGGGCTGTAAAGGTCCATTTAACACAGTGTTTGATTGGATCAGAAAGGAGAAGACACCCTATGGGGAAGTGGTCATCCGCTTTAACACCTATTTCATGAGAGACGGCTGGTACTGGCTATATGAAAACAGAAACAACCGCACACGCTATGGAGATCCAGTTGCACTGCAGACTGGCTGGCGTGGAATTCCCATGGAGGGAGTGGATGCGTATGTGCATGTTTGGTCCAGAAAAAGAGATGCTGTTTACTTCTTTAAAGGTAGGTCTCCACACAGTACTAGCCTACATACTGGATGTACAGACATGTACTGTAGTTTGCCAGTAAGGTAATCATTTTCAAAAACTAGCTGGAAAGATATAGTTGGTGGATGTTGTTTTTGTGTACAGGTACTCAGTTTTGGAGGTATGACAATGAGAATGACCACGTGTTCAGACAGGACCCTGAAGGTCACGGCTATCCGAGGTTAATCTCTGAGGGTTTCCCAGGGGTGTTCAGTCCCATTGACACAGCCTTTTATGACAGGAGGGACTCCCACATCTACTTCTTCAAAAGCAGTCTTGTAAGAATTATATCCTTATCTTCTGTTTGACACATGATACATGGGGAGTTGCATAGGAAGCACGTAGATCAGTTTGATTACTTAGGTTACAAACAATTGTTTGTAACCTAAGTAATCGTGTATTGTGTCAGAAAAGGCCACAGTGTCACAGCCCCACTGTGTGTCAAGTTTGGGTAATTTGAGTAATTGCAAATTTGTCATTTTTGTGGACCTGTCTTCTAAAGGGACCCTCTGTCAAAATAAAAAGAATCTGAAATAATTGTCATTACAGCTACCGTTTCCTTATGTGATTTGCATTCTAACCATACTAGTTTGTGGAACAAGTGGATATACAAAAAGCAAGTCTTAGCCCAAGCTAATTCGTTGTTTCTCAGCATTATGAGGGAACATGCTCATCCAAACAAGCACTTCCTCTGTGGTTTGTTTGTTGTGTTTTAATTGAATGTAATTCTTCATAAGAGGCAAAACAATTATCTGTTCAAACAGGTGTATGCGTTCAACGTGGAAGCCAACAGCTTGGCAAGAGGCTTCCCCAAAAACATCAGAGATGTTTTCCCTCCAGTGGAGAGTGGAGACCATCCAGATGGCAACATCGATGCTGCCTACTTCTCCTACACCCATAATGCAATTTTTCTACTCAAGGGCACGCACTTCTGGCAGGTGGTGGGCAGCCGCAAGCGCCAGCGCCGGCCCTTTCTGCCACGAAATGGCCTGTTGCCACACAAGGAGGTGGATCAGCAATGGTTCGACATCTGCAACGTTCATCCCACTGCACTCAAACTAACCCGCTGAGGTTGCTGGAGCAGAGATTCATTAAACCCTGCTGATGTGTACTGATGTGGTCTACTGATTCAATTGATTTTGTCTATTCATGTTTCATGAATATCATATCATCATAATCATATGTGTGTAGACACCCATTATCGACTTCTTTCTTTACCTATAATATAAGATGTGTGTATATATATATATATATATATATATATATATATATATAATATAAGACAGAAAACAACAGAATATTTTCAACGAGGTGTGTTATTAATATATCAGCTGCTCTGTCTGTCTCTCACTTAAACATGCCAAATGCATATTGGCATGAAAAAAATCCAGGACCTGTTATGATTAAGATATTTAGAGCATTAGTGAGAATATATATAGAATGTTTACTCATTCTTTATACAGACACCTTGTTTTGTTTTGCTGAGCTTTTTTCGGAGCTGCTCTTCATAAGCTTAAGTGCACTGTGGAGAAATTGCTTTCAAATGGCACATTTATTCTGAAAATTATGCAAAAACAGTGGAGTGACTTCTCATGTCAAATCCACATCATTTGAAGAAACACCCGTAAAAGTATCTACTCTGTCTTTGTACTATTATTCATGTAAAAATGGAAATTTATTAAGACTACTGTTATATAATAATGTAAAGGTTATATAATCAGAAATATTGCACACAATAGAATAACAATAGGGATTCATTCAGATTGTTTTGTGCAACATGTAGCTAGGAGGAATACAAAATTATAACCAGATCCACTTGCTCTGTGATGATGATGGCACACCTGATCCCAAGGCCTCTTGTTGACTGTCTGATAGCACACGTCCAGTGAATATATGAAACTATCACTTCTCTGTAAATCAGCTGCAAACACTGGAATCCTGCAGGTAGAAAAGAATATGATGTGATCTGGAATCTATGATACTGACCTTTAAAGCTTTTGACCTTGATCTGGAATAAAACAATATAAGTTATATTGAGTAAGACTTGGAGGTGGTAGTATGTAGTGATTGGAATTGAATTTGAATTTTTGCTTTGGCAACATTGTTTACCTAAACATTCATGCCAATAAAGCTACTTGAAATGAAATGAAATGATCCGTTTCTTTGAAATGCTTCTTGTTATGAAAGTTATGGTTAAAGATTTAGACACTATCATTCAACAAATAGCAGAGAGAGATTGAAGCAAAATAATTGAAAAAGGGACTCGCCTTATTACTTAATGCTGTTCCATTTCATGGTGATCATTTGAGCACAGGGCAAATACACAGACATCGATTCTGTAATCAATATGTTACTTGAACACTCTTATTAAAGATTAAGCTCCTGGTGGGCCCCAGATAACTAGCATTGTGCTCCAGGCTATATTAATAAATTAAAGAAGAAATCAATTACAAGCAAAGGAACAAAATGTCATGGCAAGTGGGGCTACAGAGACAGATATCATGAGATGGTGTGTCTGCTCATGCGTTTACAGAATGAGCTTCTCTCTGTAAAGGCATCAACAGCATACAAATAAATCTTCATCTCTCTCCGCTGAAGATGTGCTTGTCCTCTTCAGATAATATTCTTTAATTTCTTGTCATTTCATGGTATATCTAGGATTTCAATGAATAAATAGCAGTGGGCATCATTTCTGGCTACTTGGTTCAAGTCCACTTCAAAAATTTAGAGACAATTTATTTAAATGTGTGGTTGACATCTCAGCAGGAACAATGGATAGACTAATATTGATTCAAGTACAGAAGATGCAATGGAGGCTTGTGATCTGTTTGTTTATTTCATTATGAAGTATTATACATCTCCTGCACCCTGGAGTTTCCCATACAGAGAAATCCTTAATACAAACTGTTAGTCACACATGCGAGTCCCCGGCTGCCATACTGCACAGCTCAATGATCTGTACTTTTGCACTTTTGCAACACTGCTGCTATTGAAGCTCCCATCCCTACACCGCAGGCCTCTTTGGATGCGACTAGGATAAATGAGATCAGTCATGCTGATGGAGCCTGAGCCACAGCAGCCCCGGAGAGATACAAAAACCTGTGTCATGGCACAAGAATCTGCATGGGAGGCAAACAGGAGAATAGGACCAAACTCCTGCAGCACATTCATAACAAAAATCGCCCAAACTCTGCCAAGATGTGAAAATAACTTGCAGTGCTGTTGCCTCATTTCTGTCTTGCAGCAGTGTGGAAAACATAGGGATAAATAATTTCTAGTAGCATTTCAACGGAGTGTCATACAGTAATGTGTCTTTATGTGAATGCCTCAACAAACTGCTGTAGATACAGTAGCATGTATCTTCAAGATTCTCGTCCGCGATGTTCAGCCTTTCAACGATATCCTTATTGTCACAGATCTCTAAGGTTGAATTAATAGAGTGTTCAAGGATAATATCTCTTTCAATATGTTCATAGAAAGAGAGCATTTGAAGAGCAAACAATTCCTGCATTTCCCCTGTGATAGAAATGATGGCATGTTTTTTGAACAGTTCAAATTTAATGCTGAGGCTTTATTCATTGCACGTGTCATAATATTTACACAATACTGTGAAAATCTTTCATGTCAGGTCCACAGTCTGCCCTTGTAGAAACAAAGCAAGTGAAGTGGTAACCTCATCAGGAAAAGGAATAAACAATTCCATTACTTCAAGAATATTGATCAGTATCTATGGAGGGGACTCATGAGGACAGAACAGCTTCCTGTATATAATTTCCACAGCCCGCTCTGGTGTACTTTGATATTTCCTCACCCCTCACTCATCATGACCCACCAACTGAAATTTAAATCAATTTATTTTTCTGGTGTCATGTCATCAAAGGGGTCTAATAAAGTTGCATTACGCAGCAACAGTCAGATAAATCTCAACTTGACCCTTTTGACCTTGAGCCATGTCATGAATTGATCATGTCTGACTCAAAACCAATAAGAGAATGGACAAAATGCCATGTAATCTAACCATACAACCTTTTCTGGTAAGATGTTGCCACCATATTTTCCTAATGTGCAGGTATTTGACCATCAGTGTATCAATTTAAATGATACCCCAGTGATTTAATATTGCATTTCTGTAAACTTTGAGGTCAGAGCAGATTTCAGCAGATACATTTATAAAGAATAGTCAAAATTGAAACAGCAGAGACTGAGGCCTAACTTTCAGTCTTCAATATGAGTCAAGGTCCAAAAACACTGGATTCGATACTTCCCATAATGCAACTTGAAAGTATCTTTTTATAGATAGGCTTATATAGAGGCTTTATAAATGTGCAGTCTCCAAGCCTAGATAACCCTTGTGACATCACTCAGGTTATTTTCTCAGACTTTAGAAAGCTCCTCCAGAGCCAAGCCACAGTTTTCACTGGCTGAGTAGTACTCTATATGATGAGTAAACTGAGCTTTATGCATACATTGGTAGAGGGCCCCCTAATATTCAATAGATTATATACAGTTAATAACTAACAAGCAAACAATATTGTGCAGGGTGTAGTATTAAAACATCATCCCCCACAAATAAACAAGAAGACAATATCCTAAAGATCTTTATCTTAAAGTTGTCATTCATGCTTACTTACATATTCACTACACACGAGCCCCGTATCTTCATCAGAATCAGAATCAGTTTTAATGGCAGGTACATTTTCACATAAGAGGAATTTGCCTTGGTATATTGGTGCTTACATAAACATAAATATAGAAATAGAAATAAAGACAAAGAAAAAGAAATCAAAAAACTATACAAGATATAGAAAAAATACATCAAAATAATATACATCAAACTACACTGCACCTTTGACACACCATTTATTAGCATATATACCACCTGTGAGGCCTGGTGTAACTGCTGTATTAAAATGTAAATGTAGAAATATAATATTATGCCTTCAAGCACCTTTCATGCTACAGAAAAAGAGTCCAGTAGAGGGCAACCTCAACACATATTAGGAGTTAACCTAGTCCCCAGGACTGCTGTCTGGGCCCACAAATTGTCAGTCACATTGGTATTCATTTTTCCATGTATTGCTTTTTCACATGTTTATATGCATCTTTAGCATTTACTCCATACATATATTTGACATTTTGATTAAGCTATTGGTCTGAAAGGCAACTAGGAACAAAATTCTATCTGTACCCATGTTCTTTTTTCTACATTGTAGTATGAGAAGTGTGTGATTTTCGATCAATGCTTATGAATGCAGTAGAAGTGTATTGAGTTTGTTTGTTAACATGTACATATTTAGGGGGATATGTTTGTGGTTTTATTGGTAGATATCTTTGCAATGGTCGTCCTTGTTACATCTCTGTGTGATCGTGAATATGTCAGTTGCATTTTGAGAGCGGAATAAGAAAGGGGAGAATTCTTTCTACATATTATACTGTATGTGTCCCCTGTTGTCAGAAGCCTAATGTGGAAGTGCTGACATGTGTGTGCATGGGTTTTCTTTTTCTAAAATGACAGGTTATGGAAATACATTTACCTGGGTATAGACACAGTCTTTATTGTGTTTCACTATGTTTAAAAGGGAATTTTAGCTGCTGCCAAAGATTCCACCGCCACACTGAGGAGTGCGGATCAGCATTCTGCGGTAATAAGCGTGGAATTCAGACTTTCCTGAAAAGGGGATTTTGAGTTGAAAGTTGTTCTGAGCATTAACTCTGAGTGGCATCGTTAACAAGGCTCTAGTTTGTTTATAGTAGTTCAAAAATAAAGCAGTCTCTCACCTCACTCACAAGCATACACCCACAATTGCACAAATGAATATACATGTGCACTCTCTTAAGAACCACTACACACACACGCACAGATGTTCCCCCACATGTGTCTCCTTCTCTTCCTTGATCCCTTTCTGCCTCTCTTCTTGCCCTTAGATAAAGAAGTTTGGATTAAAAGAGAAAAACACTGACTGATGCCTTCACGACTGCCTCTCAATTTCACATTCAAATCAATATTTCAAAAGCTTTTATCATCAAATAGTTTTGAGCAAAGTGCTCCTCACTAAGGATCTTTAATGTTGAGGAGAGGTAAATAGGATTTGGAATTCACAAACCCAAGCTCTCAAGCCGTCATTATACCGTGAAGAAGAAGAAACTCTTTTTCTGTGACGACAG